TAGCTTCTTCCAATTACATTACTTGCCTGGCTCCTGAGAGCAATGGGTTTGTGTCCTGTGGTTTTTTTTTTTTTTTAAAGATTTATTTATTTATGCATACAAGAACTGGGGCACAGGCCAGAGGTGAGGGGTGTGAGAAGATTCACCAGAGGCAGAGTGGGGAACAGAGGGACAGAACAGGCGGATTGACTGAAATACACTGCTGAGGGAGCAGTGGGCGAGACAGGAGAGGTCTGCTGCGCCATGTGGGTCAACTCCCTGGCCAGTCATTGAACTCAGGCTGCAGAAGTTGACAGAACTGAGACTTAACCTCTAGGCAACCAGGGAGGCCCTATTTTCTGGAATTTCTTACTTCTTTTCTTCTCTTTCAGTATTTGGTATGCCCCTTGCCCTCGCCAAATTACAGACTTTTAAAATTTCGATCATATTATTATTTTTTTTTTAGATTTATTTATTTATACAAGCACTGGGTACAGTCAGAAGCGCGAGAAGGTGAGAGAATTCACCAGGGCCAGAGCGGGGAGCAGAGCAGGCAGAAGGACCAAAATACACTGCTGAGGGGAGCAGCGGGTGGCAGGAGAGGTCTGTCATGCCACGTGGGACCCTCACCAGGTGGCCGGGGATCGAACTGGCGCTGTGGAGGCTGCGCGGGCAGCTTTGCAACCCAGCGCTCAACCATTGTGCCACCAGGGGAGGCCCATATCATATTATTTCTAAGAATGATATTTGAGGGGGGAAGTGGAAGGAAAACGCAAAACCCTTATTTTCTACTTCAGAGGTATTTCCTCTTCAGATGACTCCACTGAATTGGTGGGGGGGGTTGTCCAATAAAACCTGATTAATATTGGGCCTCCCCCGTGGCGCAGCGGTTGAGCGCTGGGTTGCGAAGCTGCCCGCATCCTCTGCAGCGCCGGTTCAATCCCCGGCTGTTCCCCGGCCACCGGAGGAGGGTCCCACATGGCGCGCAGACCTCTCCTGCCGCCCGCTGCTCCCCCCAGCAGTGTACCTTGGTCCTTCTGCCTGCTCTGCTCCCTGCTCTGGCTCTGGTGAATTCTCTCACCCTCCCGTGCTTCTGACTGTACCCAGTGCATGTATAAACAAACAAACAAACAAATAAATAAAAATACATGCCTCTTTAAAAAAACAAAACAAAACAAAACCCTGATTAATATTAAGGCCACAATTGACACCCAAAGGGCTTGAAGTTCAAATAACCCTGTATTTGCTTTCTCATTTTGTCTTATTCCCTGCCAGAGCTCTTTTTAAAAAAAGTTGGGCCTCCCCGGTGGCGCAGTGGTTGAGCGCTTGGCTGTGAAGCGGCCCGCAGCCTCTGCAATGCCGGTCCGATCCCTGGCTGCTCCCCGGCCACCGGAGGAGGGCCCCGCATGGTGCGCAGACCTCTCCTGCCGCCCGCTGCTCCCCTCAGCAGTGTACTTCGGTCCTTCTGCCTGCTCTGCTCCCCGCTCTGGCTCTGGTGAATTCTCTCACCCTCCCGCGCTTCTGACTGTACCCAGTGCTTGTATAAATAAATAAATAAATCTTTTAAAAAAATAATTTAAAAAATTTAAAAAATAAAAAAAGTTAAAAAAAGTTTTAATGTGGAAATTTACAAATATACACAAGAGTAGAAAAATCAATCTAATAAACTCATATCCCCATCAACTAGCTTCAGTGATTATCAATATCTTGCTAGTGTTGTTCCATTCCACATATTTTTCCAAGTTTTAAAAAAATATTTATTTATGCACACAAGAGCTGGGGTACAGACCAGAGATGGGGGGGGAGGGGGGAGAGGATTCACCAAAGACAGAGTGGGGAGCAGAACAGGCAGACTGACTGAAATACACTGCTGAGGGGAGCAGCGGGTGTGACAGGAGAGGTCTGCTGTGCCATGTGGGTTTCTTTCTGGCTGGCTGGGGATTGAACTCCTGTTGCAGAGGCTGCGGATTGCTTCATAGTGCGGTGCCTAACCCCTTGCGCCACCAGAGAGGCTCTGTTTTTCCAATTTTTGTCATAAAAATTATTTTTTAAAAGTTTATAGGGGCGCCTCCCTGGTGGCACAAGGGCTTAAGTCTTGCTCTCAAGCTATTAGTAGCCACTGCAGCATGAGTTAGATCCCCAGCCAGGGAGCTGACCCACATGGCTCAGCTGACCTCTCCTGCCTTGCCTGTTGCTCCCCCATCCGTGCTCCGCCGCAGTGTATTTGAGTCAATCTGCCCTGTTCTGCTCCCCACTCTGTCTCTGGTGAGTCCTCTCACCTTCCCTGTACCTCTGGCCTACACCCTAGCTCTTGTATGCATAAACAAAAAAATCTTTAAAAAGACAAGTTTTTAGAACAATAAATACAATGATCACCCCTAAACGGACCATCTACACTCAACAGCTGTTAATGTTTTACCTTGTTTGCTTTATTGATAAACCTATGTGAGTCATTTAAAAGTTTGTTGCCTACATTATGACTTGTTCCCCTTACAATTTCATCAGCATTTTTCCTACATAACTACAATTCCATTATCACACTTAAGAAAATTGACAATACTATTTAATAAGTTAATATTTAGCTCATGTTTGAATTTCCTCAATTGTTCCCTATCTTTCTTATTTTTTAAAAACTGGGATCCAAACAAGGTCCACACATTACATTTGATTGTTATTGCCTTCTAAATTTCTCCTCCTTTTCCTCTGCTTTTTTTTCCTTAAAGATTATTTATGCATACAAGAACTGGGGTACGGACCAGAGGTGTGGGGGATTGAGAGGATTCACCAGAGACAGATAGGGGAACAGAACAGGCAGACTGACTGAGGGGAGCAGCGGGTGAGTCAGGAGAGGTCTGCTGCGCCATGTGGGTATCTCCCTGGCCAGGGATTGAAATTGTGCTGCAGTGGCTGCCGATAGCTTCGTAGGTTGCGTCCCAACCCCTTGCACCACCAGGGAGGCCCTCCTCTGCTTCCTTTTTAAGTACATTGCCTTTTTGAAGAGACCAGTCTAGTTTACTTATAGAAGTCCCACATTCTGGATTTCTGATTATCTCCTTGTAGTGTGATGTATTCAACTTGTTCCTTTATCCATTATAAATTTCCTGTAATTGCAAATTCGTTCAGGTATGGTTAAATATGAACTACTTTTAACAAGAATACTTAATAAATAATGCTATATACTTCTTGATTGCATCTTTTCTAGGACCTCCTGTCAAAGTTGTGCTGTTATTAGTAATGCAATGTTTGATCATTTGGGTAAGGTGATAACTATTAGATCTCTCTATTTGAAGTAATTTTTTTTCCTCCTGTGCGATTTGCAAATAATTAGACTGGTAAAATTAATAATATTCTATTACCAATCTTTCCCTTAAAATTTTGATGACAGATGATTTTTGCCCGAGTTACTGCATGTTGCAGATCAATTTTCTTAACTTAGTCTACATTCTCCTTCTACATTTATTTGCTTAAGCTCTAAAAAAAAAAAAAAAAAACCAAATTTCCTTAATCCACTAAGGATGAACTACAACTACAGTTCTTCCTAAAAAGTCTAAATGCCTAACTCCATCTAATTACCACTTTTCCGAGTAAGAGGTTGTCGTAAAAGTTACCCTCGGTGTGGCAAATTAGTTGTTTTTTTTGTTTTGTTTTTTTTGGGCATCACTATAGATTCCTGTTTTTCCCTTCTATTCTTTTCCCCTCTCCCCCATCCCTTTCCTCTGGTCTCTTTATCCATGGCGACGGCCAACTCTCTCCGCATTTGCGCCTGGGCTTTCCAGCCAGCCGCTAGGGGCCGCTAGTCTCTCCCGCCCCACGCGGCCGCTCTCTCCCACACCTCGCCGTCTGTTACCAGCTGTTATCTCGCTGGTGCCGGTGCGGCCCACGGAGCCGCTCTAGGCTGCCGGGAGGCCGCCCGCTTTGCGTGGGGAAGGTCTGGACGACGCAGTCGCCTCGCCGGTCCCCGGGGCGGTTAGCGCTTCCGGGGTCGGAGGGTGCGCGGGGTTGAAAGCGGGCCGCTCCGCCCCGTCCCCCTCCCAGACCAGCAGAGGCAGCAGCCGGAGCAGCCGCAGCCTGCGCCCTCTCCCGCCCGCCCGCCCTCCGCCCGCCCGCCCGCCCTCCGCCGCCCTCCACCCGCCCCGGGGTCTCTTTCCCCTTTCCTCCTCCTCCTCCTCCACCCCCCCTTCCTCCTCCGCCCGCCCGCGGGGCCCCCCTCGCCTTCCCGCCCGCCCCTATTGTTCCGCCCCCGGCCTCCCGCCCTTCCCCTTCCCGCCCGCTCCCCTTTTCCCCTCAGTCGCCTCGCGCCTGCAGGTAAGCTTCAAAACCCTCCCTCCGCCCCCGACGAGCTCTCTCTCGCCTCTTGCCAGCTTTCTCAGCGGGCTTCGTTCCTCGTCGCGAGCCCCGGCCTCGCGTAGCCCCGCGCGAGCGCCTGCCCCCTTCCTCCGCCTGGCCGGCCATTCACGCGAGGCCCCGGCGCTGGCGCGGCCTAGTAGGCCGCACGCAAGGCCGCTCCCCCTCCCCCCGCCTTTTCCCGGTGGCGGCTGCGCAGGAGGCGCGGAGGGCGCGCGCGCGGTGGGGGGGGCGGCGGTGGATTTGTTGGTTGAGGGGGGTGGGGGAGGCCATGGCCGGCGCGCTGGCCGGGCGGGTGAGCGCGGCTCCCCGCGGGGGTCAGGCGCTGGCGCAGCCACACGAGGAGGCGCTACGAGCCCGGCCCCTCCCCCTGGATCGCAGCGCCCCCCCCCGACCGAACCGTTTATTTTTTTCCCCCCTTTCTTAGTCGAGGGACTGGAGGGGGGGGGGAGAAGCATTTTTTAAGTGGAAAATGCTGGGGTGACCGCGGGGCGGGGGGCTGCGCAGTTAAAGAATGGGTAGGCGGGCTCCCATTTAAGGAGTTAAGGACGTTCTCACGGGGTAACGAATTTTGAAATTACAAAATGCCTGCCGATATAGACACAGACCGAGCTATTTATAGGCGAAGGGGTAATGGACTGCAGGATTAACAGCTGGATTACTGGGTTTGGGTGCGCTTGAATTGACCTAGTCGGGAGAGAAGTATGACAGGGTTCCTGGATGATTTGGAATTGCAACTTTCCAAAGAAATGGTTTCACATAGGTTTTTAAATTTTCTATCCCTTTCGAACTTCTGTTACGTTTGAATAGCGACAAAGAATTAGACTGCCAGGTTTTTTCCGTATCTGTTAAAGTCATTCTTACTGACCTAAGTCTCGTTCCCATCCCCCACCAACACTGTTGTTTTTCCATGCGTGAAAAGTGTTGAATTCTGGGATCTTGCCAGCAATTAATTATATTCTAAAAATGGGGGAAAGAGGTGCTTTGGGGATGCAAAGCCCATCTTTCAAATAATGGCTCCTCCAGGTAGCCCCAGGGTAGCTTGCCATATACAGAATAGTCTGGCGGCTGTTTAAACACTTTAAAAATATTTAGGGTGTGGGCTTTGTGTTGGAGCTAAGTTAAAAACAGTGGCTGGTTTTGTGAAAGGGGAAAGCTAGCTGTAGTTGATGCTGAATTTTGAAGGGATGGATACTAAAAATGTTACTGGTGAAATGTAACAGCTTTGGAGAGATCCTTTTTGAAGTTAACACCGTTAGTTCCTAAAGAGAATGTATTGTGGGTGAAATAGATAACGGAAAAACAAACCCTCCTTTACTTTGTCAATTGTACTAAAACAATTGTTTTCAGAGCATAGGTCGAGGGGCAGGGCCTCTGTATTGCCGTTGCTTAAAACAACTACAGAATAAGTTTTTAGCAATAATAGTTTTATTTTCATTGTTTGGAAGAAAATTTAAGCATTACCTAACTTGAAGGTAAAGATTGGTAACAAAGGTTATTAAAACACGAAAACAGAATTTTTCAAATCTGATTGATCAAGTTGCATTGATGAGAAGGAATAGAAAGAAGACTCGGGTTGTACATAATGTATTGAGTCATTGCCTAACGGGGAATATGGAACCCAAGTCTGCATAGAAGGCATTTCACATAATATATTTTTGAGTGAGATTGTTGATTTAAATCCTTTTGCAGAATTATTTGGTGCCATCTATCAACATTTGAAATTTTGGTGTGATACATCTTACTTTATTAGAAATTATCGGAAAGGAAATTTACGTGTTTTCTCAACCTGAGCTGCTACCTAACTGACCTCACTGTAGTTGATTTGAGTTTCGCCTCCTGATTTCCAGGTGTTCATCCTGTTGAAGCATATTCTGCTGAAGGACAATTGATGCACTTTCAGCGGTTCCTTAAAATCATTGCCAGTTGAAAGAACCATCCTGAGAGTCAGCGAAACCCTACCATTAATCAGAGCAGACTGGAAAGTCTTCCATATTCTGTAACAGAACCTGAGCTGTAAATGGTGTTTAATGCACTTTTGCTGGATGTGTACAAACCTGCCAACTAACAGGCTGTCATTTAAGGAAAGGAGTCAGAAAACATTGATAATGGTGGAAATAACCGGGATATACTACTCCTATTCCTGATTTTGGTTGTGTTTGCATTTCAGTTTTTGGCTTTCACCCCCACCAGTGACCAAAGACTTGACCACTCAAAGTCCAGCTCCCCAGAACACTGCTCAACATGGACACCGGTGTGATTGAAGGTGGATTAAATGTCACTCTCACCATCCGGCTACTTATGCATGGAAAGGTATGCACCAGCTTGGGAAATTGGGTCATAGTAACTGCTAGGGGAGAGGCCAGGAAGAGAAGGCGTGTATCTTGGAGGAGCTCATCAGATTAGCACTGTGGGGTGTTTGGCTTGAGCGTTCTCCTCTAGCACATGGAAAAGTAGTGGGAAAATAGACAGTCTTTATTAATTAGGACCTTCCACTGAGCAGGAAGGGCTTAACTGGAGGCTAGAACCAGACTCATTCTTGGATGATAAGATTTTTCTCATAGGGGTTGTTACAACTTATAATGGATGGGTTTCCTCTACCCAGACAATTTAGGGAAAAGCTCCAGGGAGATGGTATATTTGAGATTTTAAGTAGTGATTTATATAAAGTACAAAGTATATCATCACTCCTGCATCGCTTTGAAATTCCTTCACTTATATTTTAAGTAAAGAAAAGAATAAACAAACATATCCACTCCCCTTTCTAATAAGTCTTAGTTTATCAGTTGCTTTGGGCAGTTAAGAATTCCTTTTCATGATGATGGAACACTTTGAGTTACTCCTTATTTGACACTGGTTTTCTCCATTGCAGGAAGTTGGCAGTATCATCGGAAAGGTAAGATGGTTTCACTTCAACCTTAATTACTGTCTAGTTACTTTGGGTTGAAATAGCAGTTGGCGCTAACTCTTGGCTTTTCCTCTTACAGAAAGGAGAATCAGTTAAGAAGATGCGAGAAGAGGTGAGTTATGGGGACCTGGGTACAGTTGCCTTTGAAAGTTAAAGACCTTTAAAACACCCACATATTTTGTTAAAGGAGAGATTGGGGGTGGGGCATCTAGGTAGCTGAATAGGAGAAGCTGGTATTTATCTGTCTTGATTATTTGTTTATGACAAATAATGTGTTGAGACTACCGGGAGCTTCTGTAGTCTGAGGACAAACATGGAGCAATGTTTGAAATGATGCTGACATTAGTTTGTTGGCAATGCCTTGCACATCTTATTTAGATAGCGCAGTATATTCTACACAATATGTGTATGCTAAGATATTTTTGCCAACTTAACCTATTTTGGCTCTTTTTTTATCCAGAGTGGTGCACGTATCAACATCTCAGAAGGAAATTGTCCTGAGAGAATTATCACTTTGGCTGGACCCACTAATGCCATCTTCAAAGCCTTTGCTATGATCATTGACAAACTGGAAGAGGTTTGTTGTTTACCCTAACTTATTTCTTCCTTGTACATCTTTAAGTGCCTCTAGATAGCTTAGTAGTTTTTCTAAGAGCTTTTTAAATTCAGGGAGAGCATGGACCATAAGACTCTATAAATGGGTTCTTTGCTTCCTTTCAGCATCCCCCAAGTTTGATCACTTATAGTTTAAAATGAGTCACTTGAGTCATTAAAAAATGGTATGACACTTAACTGAGAATAAATATAAAACATTTGTGTGAGAACCCAGTATCTTTTGTTTTTATTTCTACCAACAGTTTTTGAAGGTATGCCACCATTGTGTTGGTAAACTTTGTCCCCTAGTCCATACTTAGTGAGTTGTTATTATTGTTAAAGATTCGTTTTACTTATTTGTGCATGTAAGAACTGGGGTGTAGGCCAGAGATGCAGGGCATGACAGGATTCACCAGAGACGGAGTGAGGAACAAAACAGGCAGATGTGCTGAAATACACTGCTGAGGGGAGCAGCGGACAAGACAGGAGAGGTCTGCTGCACCATGTGGGTAGTTCCCTGGTCGGAGATCGAACTCATGTTGCAGTGGCTGGCAGTAGCTTGAAAGAGCTGAGACTTAACCTCTTGCGCCACCAGAGAGGCCCCCATACTTGAGTGAATTAAATGTGTTTCTGCTAAGGGCCAGGATAAACACTTAAGACACTATAAGTATATATATCTTGCAGCACTATATACAGTTATTGAAAAATCTGGTAACACTACTTGTGCTTTACTTTAGTGTTCTACTCTGAGGAAAAGAATGTCTTATAGGTCCTCAGAAGCAGTTATCAGTGACAATGTTATGTAAATTAAAAGAATGGGAGGAGGGGAAAATGCAGTCATTTAAAAAAAAGGTTTTTTTAACTACTTAAAAAGATCAGAAAACAGCCAGTGCCCGAAGTCCTGCCTGTAGACCCTCCCTCTTCCTGCAGTACTGCTGTTAATCTTGGACTTGGCCACCACAAGCATAGGAGAGTTGGTGGTGGCTTTTTTTTTTTAAGATTTATTTATGCATACAAGAACTGGGGTACAGGCCAGAGGTGGGGGGCAGGTGAGAGGATTCACCAGACAGTGGGGAGCAGAAAAGGCAGATCTGAAATACACTGCTGAGGGGAGCAGCGGGTGAGGCAGGAGAGGTCTTCTGCACCATGTGGGTAGCTCCCAGGCTGGGGATCGAACTGGTGCTGCAGTGGCTGTGGCTAGCTTCATAGGGTGCGTCTTTACCCCTTGCTCCGCCAGGGAGGCCCTGGTGGTGGCTTCTTGCTAGGGGGGTGGATATTTAATGGTGTAACTGTCCAAAATCAGAAATGTTACCTTTTGATCAGCAAGACCTTGTTAATCCAGAGCTTGTGACTTAAAAAACATTGTAGAAAATCCTTCAGTAATTTTTTAGCCAAGTAAGAAACATATCCTTGAGTTTGGGGTTTATGTTTAAGTAGTTGTCAGGTCTGCATACTTACTGCATAGGGATTAGGCCAAGAAATGGTTTGAAGCTACTTTGTTCTCAGAAGAAAAAATTTTACTAGGTTGAACCATGGCAGTTGGGTGGAACATATTGTTAGGGAAGAGACTGTGGGCTTTGGAGCCAGTGCCATCTCTTTGTTTTAAATCTACAAACTTCAGAATTTGATTAAGGCAATTTCACTATCCGTACAGTGGTGGTCATGCTAATAAAATTATAGACGGAAGTACATAATCGTTCTAGTTTTTTATTTTATTTTAAAGATTTATTTATGTACTAGAACTGGAGTACAAGCCAGAGGTGCTAGGGGTGAGAGGATTCACCAGAGACAGAGTGGGGAGCAGAACAGGCAGATTGACTGAAATACACTGCTGAGGGGAGCAGCAGGTGAGACAGGAGAGGTCTACTGCGCCATGCAAGTAGCTCCCGGGCCGGCTGGGGATTGAACCGGTGCTGCAGAAGCTGTGGATAGCTTCATGGTGCTGTGCTTAACCCCTTGTACCATCAGGGAGGCCCCATAATCCTCCTAGTTTTTAAAAAATGGGTTATTGGAATTTGGGATTGCCTTATTTTGTGCTTTTCTCTTTTGAGGGGGGGGGCTTTTCTCTTAAATGTAGTTCATTTAATTTTTTTTTAAAAATATTTATTTATTGTATTTATTTATACAAGCACTGGGTACAGTCAGAAGCGCGGGAGGGTGAGAGAAATCAGAGCCAGAGCGGGGAGCAGAGCAGGCAGAAGGACCGAAGTACACTGCTGACTGGAGCAGCGGGCGGCAGGAGAGGTCTCTGCGCGCCATGTGGGACCCTCCTCCAGTGGCCCGGGAGCAGCCGGGGATCGAACCAGCGCTGCATAGGCTGCGGGCAGCTTCGCAACCCAGCGCTCAACCGCTGCGCCACCGGGGAGGCCCTGTAGTTCATTTAATTTTGACTTTAATGTTCTCTGTGAATAGTAAACTTAATTTCCAAAATGAAGGAAAATGTATTTAGTGCTTATTTTGAGGAAGTTTGTAGATGTTTTCCTTTTCAGAAATAGATGTTTTATGGGGGGATTATTTGTGGTGGTGGAATATTGTGGATCATGATATAATGTTGTCCCTTGTTTTCTAGGATATTAGCAGCTCTATGACCAATAGCACAGCTGCCAGTAGACCCCCAGTCACCCTGAGGCTGGTGGTCCCTGCTAGTCAGTGTGGCTCTCTCATTGGAAAAGGTGGTTGCAAGATCAAGGAAATAAGAGAGGTTTGTTCACTTTTGTGTTCCTTTGGTAACTGTTAGTGTGGCTAGGAAAAGTTAGCTTTTGAGGTGAAGATTTTTTATTAAAGTAACAGTCGTAGAAGATTAGAATTTGTGCTGGGAAGAAAGTGTTGCCATTAACAGTTTTCAATTTTTTTTACAATTTATATGTATAAACAATCAGGTCATGAAAAAGTTGAATTTCCAGGTATTGTGTTTGACCTGTTTGCATTTTTTATTAATCTGGCAAATTTTCCATGTGATCACATAATTCTCTTTCATATCTGAAGATACTAAAATTTGATACAGTAATAAGTATTCTTTCACAAAGTGCCTGAAACACAGGAGCTGAATGGCAGAGTATATTGGGATGTGGTTGTAACCTTGTTCCCTTTTAAATTGTGGGAGTTAAATTGAATTATGGAACTCACTTGTACTTGGAGTTACTAAATTGGATGTTTTAATGAAAACTTGAATGACAATTCAAGGGGAACACTTGTCGTACATGCCAGAAGAGCAGGGGTTTTGGTTTTGTTCGTTGGTGTATTCCAAGGCACCTGGAATGGCTCCTGGTACTTAGAATGGACCTACATAAATATTTGTTCAGTAAGAGAATCAAAGTGGGTGATATTTGTGGAGAATTTCCTTGATGGCCCAAAAAGCTATCATTAGCTAAGAGGAAGCTGTCTAGAAGGACCTTTTTCTTGACAGCAGGTTAAATTTAGGCTGTTATTCAGCCTTATTCTTGGCTTTCAGAGTCTAATTTATTTTTAACTGTGTTTAAACAGTCCTATGTGGAATTAAGGGAACAGTGGGAAGGGAGGGTAAGATGGGAGATTGGGTTAAGTGTCTGCTGAACTTTACACTCTGAAATTGCTGGGAAGAATTGAAAGACTACGAGGTGATTTTCTCTGATTTTTGTTTTGCCCCTCCTTTTTTTTTTTTTTTTTTTTAATCCCAGAGTACAGGGGCTCAGGTCCAGGTGGCAGGGGATATGCTCCCCAATTCAACTGAGCGGGCCATCACTATTGCTGGCATTCCGCAATCCATCATTGAGTGTGTGAAACAGATCTGCGTGGTCATGTTGGAGGTAAGCCCTCAGGCTCATGCTGAGAATGGGGGGAGGGTGATTCCAGGGAGACAGACTGCTCTATATTTAGTAGGACTAGAATTAGGTGAAGCTGTTAGAAACCTTCACTGGGGGTGGGGAAGGGTTCCCTGAGTTCATACTTTCCTTTCCCCAACTTTGACTTTTCTTGTAGTCTGAGCAAAAATAGAAACAGCTGAGCAGCAGTGATCTTTGGTTTACAGCAATTGTTAGCAGGGTTGGTAGGGGGAAAGAGTCACCACTTCGACCGAGGGAACAAAGGATGTGTTTGGCTTCCTGAGATGCTGTTAAGTTGCCTTTTCGATTACAGTGTTTTGGCTACGTGCAACTTCGACAGTGTTATTTTCAAAAAGGTAGTTAGAAAAAAATATCCATGTGGCGTTTTCTGCGCAATGTATGAGGTACTGGTGTATGCTACTCAATTAAACAGGAATACCCAAAATTAAGAGAAAGTAAGAAAGGTCCCGTATTGGTGAGAAAGGACAGCAGAATTTTCAATTAGAGTTAGGAAGTTATCAGTTAAGCAACTGTATTACTTCTGAACATTGTGTATTATCCTAGACATAACAATGGTGCTTTTATTTATTTTGGCTTTGTTTCCTCTTCAGGCCAAAGTGTAAGAGCCTAAAAATTACCCGCTAAAACGTACATGTGTACGAAGAGTTTTCATGTTTGTTAGATTTATTTGAAAGCATGGAGATAATGCCTAAATTATTACAGGGGAATCTGCCTTGATGAGAATTAGTGTGAGCTGTGTAGTCCACGGACCATCTTACTCCTTTAAAGGCAAATAACTGCAGATGATTTGAGATTAGATCTAGCCAGAGACGACGTTGGTAGGTGAGGGGATGGAAATGATACAGTTTTTAATTTAACTGACCTGTGTGAGCTTAAGCCACACAGCTGAAGCAGCTTTGAAACCTTATCTCTTTTTGTTTTTTTCCCCTCTGACTCTCTCCCAGTCCCCTCCGAAGGGCGTGACCATCCCGTACCGGCCCAAGCCGTCCAGTTCCCCGGTCATCTTTGCAGGTGGTCAGGTAAGAAAATCTTACTGATGGGCTAGAGTGAACGAGGATTATATTTGAAATGTCAACTTTGCCAGCAACACACCAGGCCACCCTGCATGCTTGCTGAAACCTGTACTCTGCCCATAGTCTGATCTGCTTTTAGTTCCTTTTTTTTTTTTTTTTTTTGTATTAGAGAAAGCTATGAATGCCAAGCCTTTATTTAATTTTTATCAGGCAATGGAAGTTTTGTAGGCACTCAGAGGAGGTAATTTAAGGTGGATTGGATTGGAAGAAAGGGTTAAATTTCTTTGATGTCACTACTTCTTTCCCTAACCCCACCCCATCCATGCTTTTTTTTTTATGTTTGGGATGTTCTTTAGAGGTTTGAATAACGGTAGCTAAGAATTAGACCTCTGAAGGAGATTCTGGATGGTGGTCTCAAAATTGGGGAGGTGTCCTGAACTTGAGTGTCCTACAAACTTCCCCTTCCCCCCACCTCACCTCCCCTATTCCCACCCCTTCACTCCACTCCCAAACTCCAGTGTGTTCCCCTCAGGCTCTCAACCTTATGAACACTGGTTGAACCCACATTGCATCACTGAAATCAGACATGGCGTGAGGGTTCAGTGTGCAAGACTAGAGGAGGCTGTGGTGCTGTGACCTTTGGTGTTATAGTAAGAACACCAAAGCACTTCCTTAGCCTCTCTCTCCTCCTTCACCATCTAAAACTCTTGGTCCTTGGCACGTGGTTTATTGTGAAGTCAGCTTTATATGATGAGCACGGATCAGCACCGTAGTAGTTTTTGCTTTGTTGGTTAATATTTGAGAAGTAGGTAGGTCAGTGTTTAAAATACTGTGGTGTTCAGGTTGTAACAGTGTAAGCTTCATGTTGTTAACTGCCAAAGCAAGTGCATTCATTGCTCAAAATGCCTTTTCCCCACTTTGGGCTGGCCTGTTAGAACTGTGTTATTCAACAGATTTCACCTTGTATTTGAACTGGGAATCATAAACTTGGAAGTTGATCTCATTCGTTCTGTTGAGTTGGCATAAAACTGAACAAGTTTTGGGGGATTTAGTTTGTTGTAGGAGCTGAAGTTAGTTATGTCACAGTGTTATCTTTAGACAGTTTAGCGCTTGGCTTTTGGTGTTGCGAAGTCTGTATAAACTGGTTTGGTTAAGGGGCACGGAGTCGGTCTAGATAGGAAGGATAAGCAATGGCCCAGAGTCAGGGTAGCAAGGAGGGTTTAGTTGTAGTTTTCCTTTTTCCTGGGGAACTTCAGGTTCCTGCTCTTGTGGATTCTTCCACTCCTGTCTGGGATTATAGAGAGTCCCATGCTGTCATGACAGCGATTCTCTCTAAAATTCTCCCTTTTATTTTCCTCCCTTCCCCACCTCTCCTTTCATGTCTTCCCTCCCTCCCTTACCTTTATTCAGTTGACCACCCTCTAAAAGCTTGTAACTTCTTCCATGAGTGGCCCTATCATGAATTATTCCTCCTGGGCCTTTTTAAAAGGACCAGTTTGTGTGATGTGTCCGTAGATGGACCTATGTCTTTTGTTTCTTGTAACAAAGTGGGCTCTATAGGGGTTCAACTTAATCGCACACTGATCAGGAGCTGCCATCAGCTCTGTTGCCCTACCCCTTCATTCTTACTGAAAATAGCCCAATTGTGCAGTGCGAAATCTGCCACTAGGTAACTTTTTTTTTTTTTTAATTCACTGATTGCAGCTCGTTTCAAATTGTGTTGTGAGCTCCTTTTTAAAGGAAGAGAAAAAATTAAACAACTTTTTTTGTGTGAATTTCATGCTGGTGACAAGGTGCCGGATTGACAGCCCTGGAGACTGAAATCCTCTATTTATCCACAGGACAGGTACAGCACAGGCAGCGACAGTGCGAGCTTTCCCCACACCACCCCGTCCATGTGCCTCAACCCTGACCTGGAGGGACCACCTCTAGAGGTGAGAGGGGATGTTCAGTCTCCAAGGCTCACTCAATCCTTCCGCCTCAGCCGAGACTGCCAACACGCGGGGGGCCAGTGGCGCTGGTGATTTTTGTGCTGTGGACACCACCTGTCCACGGGGACCTGGACTGACCCCCCCCACCTCATTTCACACAGGCCGCGTAGCCCACCAGATGGTAACACCAACTTTTTTTTTTTCTTTTTTTTTTTTCTTTTTTTTTGTTTTTGTTTTTTGTTCAACCCCTCTTCCCCATTTCCCCACTCCTCCCCATTTTCACCTTCCCACCCCCACCTGGGTGCACTTTTGGGGGTACTGGCCACTGATGTGAGAAGCTTCACATCCTGTTAACCAGCCGCTCCATCCTTCCCTCCCTGTTCCTCCTCGTCCCCACCCCATTGCCCCGCAGACCCAGCTCCCTTCCGGGAGGTTATGGCGTGGGGGGAGGAGGGCGTAGCGGGAGCTGCAAGTACCGTCTATGGAGGGGAGGTGGGCGAAGGCAGGACTTAGAACACGTGTGTCTGTGCGCGCGCTCGCGCGCGTGTGTTCATTCCTCTGGTCAGCTCCCTAGTGCTAGGGGTCCAGTCAGTGTCAGCGCACTGAAGGTCTTCAGGGAGACGTAGAGAAAGATAAGATAGGGGAAGGGAATGTTTCAAAAACATGCCATGTAGGTACGGATGCAAATCATTCACTTCGTCGTGATTTGGTAGAAAGGTTGGGGTGGTCGAGGGAAGAAGAGACCATTTTCCTTCTAGGCTCTCTTGTACACAAGGAGAAAGGAGGACTTGGTCAATTTGAGGCATTGCTTGATCCTACTTCCCACGTTTTAAGAAACAGATGTGTATTTTGCCTTTGATTATAGTGAACGTGGCTCCCTTTATAGGTTTCCTGGAATAAGTCGTCATACTTAGAGTTCAAAGAAGGCCAACTCAGGTCTGACTGTATTTGTGAGATACTATCTTTTCCCTCAATCCCTGGCCTCCCTATTCTCTAGTTCAACTCTGGCTTCCTGGCTAGTTAAAATCTGTCTTTTCCCCCCACTGGGTGGCTGTCCGTGATTGGTTTTTAATAGGAACTGTTTTCCTCCTTTTGTAGGCCTATACCATTCAAGGACAGTATGCCATTCCACAGCCAGATGTAAGTTTTGTTTTCACTTCTTGTTTTGAAAAGCTCCCTCTCCCATCCAAAATTGTCTCACTCGTTTCTCCCACATAGACAGAAGTGAGTTGGGTCTTAAACTTCTGCGTTACTATGTTGTTTTCCTCACAAGGTGAACCCCATATTTTAGTCCTTAAATAGTCTAAGCAAGACATAGTGGCACCTTGTTTATACTTTTGACATTTAATCCCTGGAAATCATAATCTGACAGATTGTATTCTACCTTTGCCCATGTTCTAGATTGTTCCATCTAAAAGATAAATATTCTATGGTGTGTATATATATATATATATATATATTTCAAAATTTGTTATTCCAGGGCGCAGTTTAAATTGACAGTGGACTGTGTATCTTTGCATGGATTCTTTCCATGGGGGGGGGGGAGTGGGAGATTGGGTTTTACCCTTGGGTACTCTGCAGTCTGAGGTGACAATTTAAAAAGCATCTGGAGGGGTGGGAAAGGGTTTTATTTATACAGGGAGGGATAGGAAGCTCAGCATTTAGCGGTTCAACGCAGTAAAACCTTCCCTGCCATTGAAAAGTCTTTAAAAAGTGTTGGTGTTAACACTTTTGTTTAAAGCATTTCTTTCTGCACTTTTCCTCTATCCTTACTAACCCTTTCAGGTGCTGAGTATTAGACTTGGGAAGTTGAGATTAGCTCTTGCTTAGTGGTAGACCCCAGAAGGGCAAGTAGGCTTTTGAAGAGGGATTGTTGCACAACAGCCAGCATAATTTAATAGATGAAGAAAAGGGGTGTAGAAATTGGGGGTGTTGAGGGCTAAACTCAGTTTGGTTTTATCTTAATCTCTTCTCCTTGCAGTCTCCCTGCCCCCTCATCTCCTTCCCTCCTCCCAGTACTGAAAGAACCCTGCATGGTGTGTGTTCCCTAGCACCACTGCACAGTTTGTTTACTTAGCCTGTCTGTGCTTGTCCCTGGGGCAACTGTTGCAATGGCTGCAAACACCTTCATTAAATAGCCCACAAGGGGATGGTCAGGCGGGTGCTGCTGCTTTTCTCTTCACATACTCAGGATGCATTCTTTCTCTTCATCTGACAACCTTTCTATTTCTAACCCTTAACCTTCATATTCTGCCCATCCCCAGGATTGTGCAGAGAGCCCCCTTCGTATTCTGTTGTAGTTTGAATAGGAGAGTCAACTGTGGGAATCAGGAGCTCTGCATTTTCAGTTTTGAATGTACTTGAGCCCTGACTCGTATTCTTCTAATGCCAAACTCCTGTTTGTTTCCTGCAGTTGACCAAGCTGCACCAGTTGGCAATGCAACAGTCTCATTTCCCCATGACGCATGGCAACACCGGATTCAGTGGTATGGACACCTCCATGTTTGTTTCTGTAAGGTGTAGTGCAAGACAAGAGGCCAGCCCCCAAGGTCTCAGTTTGACAGCTGTTTAAAACAAAACTTACCCAGCATCCTGCTGGCTTAAACTTGCCTGTTTTCTATGGCTAAACCGAAGGAGGTAAAGTGTTTGTTAACGTGGTTTTCATTTGGGGTGAGTTATTCTGAAGAAAAAAAAAAAAGGCCCTTGGAAGGTTTGGGGTGAGGTCTGGGGATGCTTGTCAGGCAAAGGGTAGGCTGATATTTCTTCTTACTCATCCTCACTGCTGCCCTTTTGATCTGATCAGCACCCCCTTTCTCTCCACCACCCATTCACAGACCTGGGTAGAGACAATCCATTTGTGCCAAATTGTGTAGTGTAATTTTTATTTGTTTTTGTTTTGTTTTGGTTTTTTGGGCTTTTTTTTCTGTATAAGGAATAACTTGTCCGATAGGGCTAGGATGAGACCACCAAACTCATTTTCACTTGTATCTTAACAGGCATTGAATCCAGCTCTCCAGAGGTGAAAGGCTATTGGGGTAATGATTAAAAAAAAAAAATCTGTAGTATTCTACTGTTATATTAATAAATTGGTGGGAGTCTTGTTTCACTGCCCATGAACCATACCATCAACATGCACATGGCAGAAAGATGCTGAGAGAGCAAAGGGGTGGGCCTGGTGCCCCTTTGAGGGCCCCTTGATGGATCTGGCCAACCCCCTTCTAAAAATGTTGAGTTTAGTAGCTGCAGTTGAGAGCCAGGACTAGCTTTGAGAGTTAGCCAGCTCGACCTGGTTAGGCCAGGTGTCATCATAGACGGGTATGGGTGTTTGCTGATCAGATTTTTTTTTTCCTTTTTCTTTGAAAATAAAAACCAGGACAAATTATTGAGCAAAAGACAGGGAATAAAGCTGGAGAAATAAACTCCCCTCACCTGCCATTTTATTCTCTGACCTTCAAGAATAGGTGTTAGGATGGGGAGGGGGAGGAGTGTTAATCTGATACAAGTATATTTAAAGCATCTGTGCATGTGTGCCAAAAGTCTATGGTACCCAGTAACAGGCATGATATTGGCACTGGTGCTAGTGAGCATCAGGTGAGGTGAAATTGGAACACAACAACAGGAAATCCCAAGCAGAAAAGGGGTAGAAATACAGAGGATTTGGTTAGATTTTGGTCCTGTTTGAGGATTCCACATTCCCTTGCCCCTTCCATTCCCTTACACCCTAATAGGCTGGGCTTTGCAGGAAATGGCATGAAATCAGCTCTTCTGAGTGTACAGAAGAACCTTTCCAGCATTATTTCTACACCCCTCTCCCCTCTTTCCACCTTGGAGGCTTCCAAGTTAGTGGTGAATCCCAACAGCCAATGCTGGGTTTCCAGTTTTGTTTCCTTCTGTTAAGTTAATGTGCAATCAGTGGAGATTGGTATGCTGTGTGTTGAACTTTCTTGCTCTCTTCTGTCTTTTAGCAGGTTTGGATGCATCTGCTCAGACTACTTCTCATGAACTCACCATTCCAAACGATGTAAGTGTGCTTAGTTGGCTTGCATGGGGTGAAAATAAGAATATTAAGGATAGAGATCTCTTGAGTAGTTTTGTGCTGCTCTTAGGCTGCTGTAGGGAAAAGAAAGTGGGTATTTTTAGATACAAATTAAAAATGTAGTATCTAAAAAGTACATGGGGTCTGAATAAAAACTGATGGAGAAAACTTTTAAAACTAATTTGCTGGGGTAGCAGGAGGCAGGATGAACTTCTGTGTCTCAAGTTCTTGTGGAATCCAAAGTCTTATCCTTAAGGCAGTGGTCATTAGATGGTAGTCTGTGCTGTCCAGCATGGTAGACATTAACCATGTGTGACTACTTAAACCAATGATAATGAAGTTAATTTGTCAGTCACATTAGCCACACTTCAAACATTTAATGATCATGTTATTAGCATGTGGAATATTGGGCAGTGCAAATGTAGACTGATTTATTGCTTCTTAAGCAAAAGCTTAAGAAATTGGAATTTCTGTCATTATAGTAAAGTGTTAGTCATGGCAGGCTCAGTTTATGCAACTCTGTTGCCAAGAACCAAAGGTATTTTTAACTTTATCTCTAACCATTTTAAGTAGGTTTTTTATTATCTTGACTCTGCTTTATCTCATCTTTGGAGTTAATACTCTGAGGAAATTCTCCTGGGAGTCTGCTCAGAGTTGACTGGCCAGCGGTAGTGGTCAGAAAAGAATGGGGCAAGAGTTGACATAATCTGACTCAGGTTTTTCAGTCAGGAGTATGTGAGCGTGTGGAATGTGCATAGTAGTTTCTATTGCCAATTTTTGGACCCAAACTATGGAAAGCTGGGAAGGGGTGGGATAGAATTTTCATGCCATGCCGTTCTGTAATTTGGTGTGCCTTGTTGTTTTTCTCCCTTTAAGTTGATTGGCTGCATAATCGGGCGTCAAGGCGCCAAAATCAATGAGATCCGTCAGATGTCTGGGGCGCAGATCAAAATTGCGAACCCAGTGGAAGGATCTACTGATAGGCAGGTTACCATCACTGGATCTGCTGCCAGCATTAGCCTGGCTCAATATCTAATCAATGTCAGGTAAGGGTTCCCTCCTCTTATTGGTGATTACCAGTAAAAGTAATATGCGTGTCGGGGTAAGCGCTGATATATTAGTAAACGTGAGTTTGTTTGAGGGGTGGGGATGAGATAGATGGTTGGGGATTGCAAGAAAGGGAGGGGTTAACTGTAGCCCTTACTTCTTCCTTCCATAGTATAGCTGAGAAATTAACCAGATGGTAATATTTTTGCATGGGGTGGAGGGGGTGGTGTGGGGAGAATAGAATGTTTGCTTTTGACATAATGTGATTTGGGGATTGGAAAGGAAGGAATGTATCTTCACTTGTAGGGCAGTGCTCTGGCTTAGAGCTCCCATACATACGTAGAACCAAATATATTGGGTTGTCAGAAAAGTCATGATGTATTTTTCCTGTTTTTCAAGCAAAAAAATGTGTCATGGCTTTCCTGACAACCCAGTCAGTAGTGGTCTTGCTATACATGTTAATACAAATCAGTATTCTTTATCTGGCTGGGTTTAGGTCATATAGTTCTCACCTTTAATTGAAGTAAGAATAATGACAAGGCAGTTCTTGTGGGTAGCCATTTATTGTGAAAACATCCATTTTCCTCAAATGGCAAATGTGTTCCATTGTTCAAAGCTTGTAGGAAAGAGGAGGCACAAGTATCGGAAAATGCCTAGTGTGTTTTCTTTCTTTCTTTGCCCCGCCATCACATCCTTCGGTAACTTCCTGAGGTTTTAAGAATTTCTCTATCCCAGCTTAATTAATGTTACCATTCCCACGATTGTAATAGGGTGGGTCACTTTCTAACGGGCATCCTATAAGGCATTTATATTTCTTGCTTTCTCAGCGCATGTGGTTAAGTCACATTCTTTATTGCTAATATTTTAAGCCAGTGTTAGTCTATTTCCAAAGGGCCTTAGCTGTCTTATGTAGATACTAGCCAAGTCATCATTTACTTATGTCATACTGTCTGGTTTCTCTTGTGGATAGAAATTTCGTTTTTTTGGATCTACGGAAAGGGAAAGGAATTCATAGGTATCATAAATATGATGTCTCTGTTGTGCTCATGCTGACTGTGTTTATATTATGGTCTTACATCCTGATTAAGAACTGTAAGTTCTGCAATAGAAGTTCTGATTTTTGTCTTAAGTCTTGCATGTCTTGAGGTATCTAGTTTATGTAGAAAAGACTTTGCTCTGTTTAGATCTGCTTTTCTCCCTAGGAATAAGAGGTTAGTAGCTACAAAGAACATCTGGTTTTTAATGTTCACAATGGAATGGTGGTAACCTTTGCACAGAGACTGTTTATCTTTGTGTTTCTTATTGGGGTAGGGGTGTTAAAATTTCAAGAATCATCTTCTTGGAAGCTGGAAATTGTGTTTTTCTCCTTGAATACCCTTGCCCTGAGTATTGTCAGAGCGTGTAAATGGGGCCTGCTCACCCGGTCCCTTTATTTAGGTCCGTGACAGGCACCTTAGTTTTCCTGATTGAGTCACTCTTTCCAGGGTCATCCTTATTGAATGATTGGCTATTCAGGATCATCCTGTTGAGTAAAACCGTCCACGCTAGGGATTTGGGTCAAAATTTCATTTAATACCAAAGCAAGGACCGTGCATGAATAAAGCTTCCTCTTCGTTTTGTCACCTAGGCCTAGCTTGAGTGCAGAAGGCAAACTGATGTTATTAATACTAGGTAAGAAGGATTTCTGTCTTTCTGTTGTAGCTGATTCTGGCAGTCTGAATCTTTATGGATTGCAGATGTCCTGAGATATAGGTAAACAACACGGAACCTCCTACCATTGTGGGCTAGGTGGTTCAGACATTCTTCAGTGAGCGGTTCTGACTTAGACACATGCAGACATGAGGAGCTGCAAGTTACTGCTGTTATTTGCAACTTATTTTAGAAGTGGTAATTTCACTCTCTTAAACATGGTTGTTTCTCTGCAGTGCTTGATTTTTTCTTTTCCAGCTTCCTAAGGTCTGTTATAGAAGGAAGGTCAGTCAAAAACAAAGAACTTACTATTCTCACTGCCACCTTTCCTTTCACCAGACACGAAACTTCCCTAGTTCTTATCTACATTTCTGTTCTCAGCATTTTTCTTTGAAGTGAGTGACCTACTTTGGTCTTTTGCCTCTTTCCATCTTAATATATTGGTTAGTTTGTTCTGGAGAAGGAAGTAAGCTGAGCAAAATGTCTTTTTAATTCTGTGATTAACATTCCAAAGTTTCACAAGTGACTTGTGAGTAAAACATTTCTCCTTATTTGGAAATTGATGAATACTCTTCCTTGCTACCTGAAATCATTCCTCATTTCTGGGCTGGATCCGTGTGTGAGCTATACATATGGAAGCTTGTGCTCTGAAATGTCTTTCCTCAGTCTATCAGCTTTTTCTTCGTAACAGTGTGAGGTAGTGCTGTGGAATGGAATCTGGCAGAGCCTACATTTATGGAGGGTGGGACACAGACCAGAGAGAGACACATTATCACTAGTTGGTATTAGATCTTCCTAATTGCAACCAGAGGCACTTACTGAGAACTGAAGCGGTTTTGTCCTGTACTTTTTCCCTTTTGTGGTCTTCCCGTCCACCCACCCTTTTTTTTTTTGTTCCTTTTTTCCTCTGTTACAGTTTAGAAAACGCTAAACCCTCCTCCCAGGCAGCCTCCGTCACGATCCCTGATCACCTCAGCATCAACCTCTCTCAACCCTCCACCCCTTCTTCTTCTTCTTCCTCCTCCACCACCACCCCCTCGCTCGCCACAGCGGGGACCTCCGACGCACCCTCCAGCCTCCCCAACCCTCTTCCGACCGCCCCTTGTGTCTCCAGTCTGCTTGGCATGAAACCCATCCCTCTCCTGGCTCTAAATGTTGTGTCTGCTGCTAAGGGTACCGGGGCTTCAGCTGCCACCACCACCACCTCTGCCGTGCCATGTGTAACTAACAAACTGAAAGGCGAGAAACAAAGATTCTCTCCCTACTGATTGCGTATCTTGAGGCACTCACTCAAGTATTTCTTGGTTCATTTTGTTTTCCTTTGTTAACATTGGTGAGAACCAACAATTGTGAGCTTGTGACCATTTCCTTTTTACTATTTTGGGGGATAACAGGGTGGGGGTGGGGTCAATGGTAAACCCGTGTTTAGGTTTAGGCCATTTCAGCAGAGTGCCTGTTCAGAGTCTGGCCTGTTGAATTCTTTATCTAGAGCCGCAGTTCTTGCTCTTCTTCCTCGTTGTTACTTTTTTGTAGCTTTATTCTGCCTTGCAATATAAAAATGTGTTAGGCGCTGTGTTAATGAATAAAAGCTTCTTCGTTAACTTTTTCTTAATTATTTAATGGTTATCAGCAGGCCTTCTTGGCCAGATTTGTGTTTCTAGCTGTAATAAAGTTGCCACAGTAAGAACCTTAGTTGACTGTGTGCTGTGGAGGGTGAAAGGGTGGGAACTTGTGATTTGTGGCTGTTCGACTAGGAAGTCTGTAAAACTGACGCGGGCGTTTTTGTACCGATTAATTTTGTTGTCCTTGGTCATTATTCCCCACAAAGGGAGATGGGCCTCTGGCCTGCTAAATTCTGACTGAGGGGTGTGCGGAATCGGCAAGAAGCTTCTTTAGTGTGAACAACAGTTTCTGATTTCTCAGATCCCTTACCTTGTCCGCAGCCGCAGGGAACAAGGCTCTCCATCCGAGGCTTGTTTCCTCTGGAGAGTGGTTGCTCTGAAGATCTTTTAATAGGGCGTGCACACACAGAAATTACTTCTTTCCCAAACTGGAGGAGTGAGGTGGGAAAGTCTAATAAAGTTTTCTAGCTTCTGTCTGCGTTCCTCTGCATTAGCATGCCCTCTCTCTGGGACACTGCGCAATCTGTGACACCCAAGTGTGACAAAGAATTCTGTCCATCCCATACTGACCCATATAACTTGACCGAGTAAGTCCCTTGACCTTTCTGGGCCCTGCCATTCTGTCCTCACCCACCCTGTCATGGGAAGAGCATTTTAAACTTGGATTTGGAAGGAAACCTTTATAATAAACTAAATCGTAAAGCCACTCATTCATTAGTTTTAGTTTAAAAAGAACTTCAATTTGCAGATCACATGAATGACTAGTCAGGACTGACAAGTTGTGCTTTAGTTATGCTCAAGTGTACTTAATAGCCCCGAACTCTTACTCCTTTTTCCTTAGCTCAAGATCTCTCAGTTCTCTCTCCACAAGAGTAAAAATGCTTTAGCTGTAATGACAGAAGGCTGCTGGGAGTGTTTTAGTTAGGCGGAGTGCATAGTACCAGATTAATGAAAGTGTAGTGTTCTCACTAGGCCATTGGGGAACAAGTGTAGAGTCTTTTTTTTTCTTGATAACCTTTTCCCATATCCCTTTGGGGTTTTTGTGTGTGTGGATGTGCACGCATGCATGCACGCACGTACACGCACATGTTAATTGCTCATGAGTATTGAAGTATATATTATCATGATGTTGTGGCCCTTAATCCCAGACTGGGCCTATGAATTAGTGTTACTGTCTCAAGTCTGACTGAATGGCTAGAGGGGCCACTTGTCATTGTCCACATGGGATTTTTCCTGTTAGTTGCTCCTTTATCATGTTATGTGGTCCAGTCTCCTTTTTAGTAAACTTTCTGTATAGTTAGGACTTACTTAGTCTTGCGGATAACTATCTCCCCCCGTCCCTCCCCAGCGACCTGGTTTTTATTTTATCTAGTTCTTAATTTGAAGCTTTCTTAACCTAATGAGTACTTCCTAAAGGATTGCTGGGAAGGAATCCAGATATTTAAGGGGCCCGACTGCCACCAGCAGCTCTAAAGATATCGGTTAGATTTTTAAGAGCTTATAGCTCCCCCGTGTGGTCCTTCTGTCCTATTGTCCTTAATAAAATATTTTTGGTTGGGTTTTCCCTTCTTGCCCCTTCTGCCCTCTTACCCCACCATCAGTCCCTACGTGGGTTCTATAAATTCTGGACAGTTCTTTTTGATACCGCAGTGCTACCAGACCTCCTTACATAAACTTTTTATATTTTAAGGCCCTAGCTCTACGCTGTTTCTGCCAGCGCCATGAATGTTCAGTTCCCACTGAATTCTTCCATTCAGGGCCCATTGTTTATGTTGCCCTCTATCAGTCTCGATTTTGAAGTTAACAAGATTCTGCACTATTTAAGAACTTCCTCTTCTGGGGTGAAAAAAACAAACAAACAAAAAACATTGCACTTGAAAGTCACTGGTTGGAGGACTCATTTTCCTGACCATAGTGCCCCCTCCCGTTTTCTGGCTTTGCATTGAAATTGAAACGGTATCATTCATGCTCTTGGCTTAAAAACAACAGATTATGTCCGTGAACTACGAACGTGTTTATGAAATAACTTGAAACTGAGTCTTCTACATTTATTTCTGTTCAAAATGGAGACTGTCTTATGGATAGCTCTTCTCAGTGAAGCGGGCTGAATGCTTAAAATACCTTTCCTTCAAAGCCCCAAATAGATTCTAGAACCTCAAACGCTCTGTTATCTATTATAGTCAGGTATGTTGGAGGGAGGGGTTGGATTAATAATAGATACCAGAGATAGGGGGTTTTAGTCTTAAAAACTAGGGTGAGTGAAATTCTTGAGTATAGTTTTTATAATTGTTAGAGCAGTGATTTTTAAACATCCCTTAGCATTTAAAAACGATTGTCTCTTAACAGTGATAGCCTTCAGTTGATAACAGAGACCCAGACTATCGTAGAGGTGTCCGTGGCGCTGTCTTAGCAGTAGCCTCGTGGTGTGGTTTCCAGAGGTTTCCCAAACTGCTTTTTCCATCAGTAGCTTGGGAGGAGCTAACATAAGCTCAGAGGTAAAGAAATAATGCTTCTGTGTATTGGGACCCTGTAAGAGGAGACTTCAATGTATGACATTTTCAGGACGTGTTTAATACCTCCCACCGAGATTTCAAGGTATAGTTTGAGACACACACCAATCAGGTCTAAGTAACCAAGGTCCTGTTTCCTTTAGTTCTGAGGTAATTGGCCTGGGGAAACTTGGATTACAGCGGTTAAAGGATCATGCTACTCGTTTAATCCAAGAAATCGTAAAATGTATCCATTGACACCGAGTCACTGATTATATATTCTCCTTCATATTTCACCAGCCTGGTGGAAAGTTTGGAAGTTAGGTGCAGCTGGCCACTCAGAAAACTAATGTTGAGTTCTTTTTTGTTACAGGCTTTCCTCGGAGACGGGTGGCATGGGGAGCAGCTAGAACAATACAGATTCATCCATAATCCCTTTCTGCTGTTCACCACCACTCATGATCCATCTGTGTAGTTTCTGAACAGTCAGCGATTCCAGGTTTTAAATAGTTTGTAAATTTTCAGTTTCTACACACTTTATCATCCACTCATGATTTTTTAATTAAAGCGTTTTAATTCCTTTCTCTGTTCAGCTGTTACTGCTGAGATGCTGAGATCCATATTTAGTTTTATAAGCTTTTCTCTGGTTTTTTGTTTTTTTGGGTTTTGTTGTTTTTTGGCTCATGAATTTTTTTTTTTTGTTTGTCATGGAAATGTAAGAGTGGAATATTAATACATTTCAGTTTAGTTCTGTAATGTCAGGAATTTTTCAAAAAAAATTAAAAGATGGACTGGAGCTTTTTCTTTGTGAATAGAAACTGGATGCCACAGTGATTCATGTGGGTTTTATTCCTTTGTCTTGCTGTTACTTTTGCAACTTTTATCCCTCAAAGGACATGGCCCCTGCTTGGGTTTTGAATATAAGCCTTTATTCCAGCTAAGATGTTTTCTTTTGTTTTACCTCTCCATCTTTTTTTTTTTTGGTCCCTTGATCCTATTTTCTCTCCTGCCTGTATTACAGTGACCTCTAGTAGCTTTAGCAAGCTCACTGCTGTTGATCGGCGGGCGGCAGGGGACATATATTTTTCTAGAACTCAGTCTTCAGCGGTTAGGCAAGCCTTTTCCAGATGGGCTTGGGGCACATGCTTATACATGAAGGTGGTTGAGTGTACATCTGACTGGGGTTCAGGTTGCTGGGGATGTCTCCCCCTTGTCCAAGTTAAAAACTTATTTATCTTTCCACACAGTAGGAGTTAGGTATTTTAGGATCTTCTACTAAAATTCTTTATAAAGATGTACCTGCTTCAGCATATGCCGATAACTTTAGATGATTGGAGGTTTAAGTGATCTTCATTTAGTTAGAAAAGCGTATTTTCCAAAGCCCTTACAGTATTTGGAGCCCAGCGCTCCTTATTCAGCATGTGTGCTATGCCCATCCCTTCACCAAGAAAACCCTCAACAGCTGGGCCTGCATGGAGTGGTTATATTTCAAGATTTTTCATGGGGTTACAACATGACAGTCCCCACCCCAATCAGGCACCAGGGTAAAAGCAGGAACTTCTACCCCAGTTCTTCAGCCTGAGCCATCACACATGCTTTCATAATCTCCTAACCTCCCCTTAGGCCCTAAGCCAGGGCTTGGGCAGAGAAATGGAGCGACAAAGAAATGAGTTACATTGCCACCTGAGAAACCTCAGCAGCGCGGAGGACCCAGCCATAGCCTCCCTCCTCCCAAGTGCAAAATGTGTAAACAGTAAACAAAACAAAAAAGTGCAGTCTAAGTGGCTCCCTTTCCTGCTCCCCCCCGGGTTTTGAGGGAAGCGTCTAGAACATAGCCAACCACTCGCTGAACATTATGGGATGAAGCAGGAAGGGGCCAGTTTGCCCTTACCCACAATTCTGGGGCAGTACGTACCCTTCATTTCCACAGCTGCCAGTGTCTAGTTTTATCAGGTGAGTTGATCAGGGGTCGGTCTCCACCGGGCCTAGTTTAAGGCTGGGCCTGCCCCGTCTTTCTCTGTTAATTATGTGGCGCATATATATTATTTATATAAATATTTCTCTATGTACAGGAACAAGAGGGGCTTTCATGGAGGGAGGGAGGCCGGGCGCTGCAAGGTTTCACCACTGTTGATGTCCAGTTCAGTGCTGTCACAGTCTGAGTCCTCAGAATTGCGAGGGCCCTGCGAGGAAGAGGAGGTACAGTGAGCTGCGGGACCCAGCGTCACCAATAGAATAGATGACTTTCTAGTAAACAGTGTGCGGACTTTACAGCTTCCAGACTTCATTGCTCAGGCTATTTTCCCAAGGCAGCAGACTCCTCCCTGATGGCAATTCAGAGCTACCAGCCAAGCGACCCTGCTTCCCCCCTGAAGTAGTAGGAACTCGTACATGGGCCTTTCAGGTTCCACCACCTGGATTATTGGCTTTTTGCTCCAGGAGACGGTGTGCTCAATGACGTGAAGCTTGCATCATTACTTATCTTTCCGGCCTCCGCATCTGTCTCCCCAGTGTCTCAAGTGGTGGACCCTAACACCTGCTGGCTTCCGTGGATTGACTCACCTGCTCTCCTCTGAGTAGGTCCTGGTGTGGGAGAGGCAAGGAGCAGGGTTCATGACCAGGGATCACTTCTGAAGCAGGAGGATCTAGTGGGATTTCTGAGCCCTGGGAGCACATGTCATCAGATCGCTCATCGGGCCGCTCATCAGTGTTGGTACTGCCCACCTCGGGCGTACCACTGGGGGAAGGCTCACTGGCTGTGCCTTCTTCCCCATCGGATGGGTTCTCTGAGCTGAAGGTAGATAGTGACTGGCGCATGTTCAGGCCCTGAGGCCACCTGATGTTGGAGAGACAGAACATGCTAGAGCTTGACTCTGCCCTTGGTAGCCCAGCGAGCCACTGCCTCCTGTATCCCGGCACTCACCTCTGGCTTGGTGCCAGCTCCACTTCACTGTCCACCTCTCCTTCCTCTTCCTCCGATGAGATGCCACGTTTCTGCAGGAGGGACGAGTAGATTGGTCAAGAGGGAAGGAAGGGGTCATTGGGGATCCAGGAGAAAGGAGTTACGGGTTTGATCCCAGGGACTACGACAAAGGGCTCGGGCTCAGGAACACATCCACACTTTACCTGGCTTCTGGTGACAGCGGCCCTGTACAGCAGCGCGGCCGGGGTCAAGTGCTGGGACCCAGCCCGGCTTCCCCGTCCCGCTGACCCTTCCCTTGCAGTTCCCAGCAGCCCTGCACCGTCACCAGGCCCCACTGGCGGAGGTGGCTCCCCTTTGGCTCCCCCGGGTGAATCCGGGCTGGTTGAGCCAGGTGCTGAGCCCTCACTTGGAGGCGTGTCGCCCCGAGCTGGAGGTGGTGAACCAGGATCTCCAGCTCCCCCTGTGGCGCCCCTGCTCCGGGCTCCCAGTGCTGCTGACAGCAGATCTGGGGACGACGACGACATCTTCCGCAGCAGGAGATCGTGGTGGAGCCCGCGGAGGGCTGGAGGGCAAGCCTCCCAGGCTGAGGGTCCCCCTCCTAGCCCCCCGGGGCTTCCTGGTTCCCCAGGTTCATGGGGTGGCACAGCTGCACGAAGCCCAGGCAGGTCCCCACAGCTGCCCTTGGCGCTGGCCTTGCGGTGACGCGTCTTGCCACGACGACTCCGTCCTGGTGATGGGGGCCCCTTAGGACACCCAGGTAGCCCCACACCACTCAGGGCAGCGTCTAGTTTAGGCAGCAGAGACTCTGTCTTGAGGATATCTGGCCTGGCGGGAACAGCGGTGGAAGTTGGAGGTTAACACGTGTATCAGTTTGGGCGGTACAAGCAGCTGCTTCTACGACCTTCCATCTAAGTATCTTCCTGGCATCCTCGACCTCCCGCCCCGCCTGCTTCTCCAGCATCCCCCCTTGCCATTTTCCAACCCCAGCATCTGTGAGCTCTGGTCCCACCTTTTGCTGTGGGGTGACAGCTTCTGTGGGACATTCCTCTTTTTAATGAGCTTCTCCATTGTGTTCCCATGCAGGAGGCCTCGGGAAGGGTGTGACTTCAGCAGACCTGGGCATCTCCGCTCTAAAGCTTGTTCCCTCCTAAAGACAGACACCTCAGTTTGGCATGTGACCAGGAAGGGGGACCCAGACTCAGTAGACTGAGCCAGGCAGCTCTGTGAAGACTTGGGATCTGATCCATGAGCTCCCGTGTGGTTACCTGAGCAGCTCCCGCTCTTTCAGCTCCAGTTGTAACATGAGGGCGTTAAGTTCCATGTACAGGTTGTTCGCTCTCTCCAGCTTCCGCTCGTAGTGCTCCCTGATGTCCAAGGCATGTCTAAAACGAGCACAAGGGTTCCTGAGGTGAGCTGGGTCCTAACCGAAGCCTGCCTCTAGGAACTGGTCCGCAGGCCCCGCTGTCAATAGAAACGCTTTCCGGGGCCTCCCTGGTGGCGCAAGGGGTTAAGCACAGCTCTGTGAAGCTGTCTTCAGCCGCTGCAGCACAAGTTCCGTCTCGGCCAGGGGGCTACCCACATGGCGCAGCAGACCTCTCCTGTCTCCCTGCAGCTCCCCTCAGCAGTGTGTCTCAGTTCATCCGCCTGTTCTGTTCCCCACTGTCTCTGGTGAATCCTCTCACCCCCGCACCTCTAGCCTACACCCCAGTTCTTACATGCATAAATAAATAAAAATAAATCTTAAAAAAAAACAACCTTCCCAATCCCAGGCACAAACCTGAGCTCCTCCCTCCTCCGCATCACCAGCTCCTCCTCTAGGCGGTGCAGGCAGGTCCCTTCTGACTTGATTTTTTCAAAGTGCAGCTTTACCTCTTCGCGCCACTCTGCCTGGGGTGGAGAGACAGTGAGGGCTGAGGGCTGGCCCACTTCACCCGGCAGGCCTGACGTCTGCAGGCGCCCGCACCAGCTCACGTGTGTGGGTGTGAAAAGGAGCGGGGCACAGGGTTGACGGAAAGGGGGGGGTCTAATCTGTTCCGTCCCAGTCAACACTGCACGAGCCTCCCCTCAAAGGGCATCACCTCTCTGCAAAGAGAGGGAGCTGGGGTGGTCATTTTCCTACCCACAGCCCACCTGGGACTTAAAGTAAGTCTCCTGGGGTGTGGAGAGCACGTCCGCTGAGGCGATGTCCAGATGCAGCAGGATCTGTCGAAACGACGGACGGTTTCGTGGTTTGCTGTTCCTGGAGGGAAGGGAGTTGGGGGAGAAAGTCGGCAGCCTCAGGAGGGCCCAGGAAGGAGCTGGAGCACCTTTGCCCAGTGTCCCCGAGAGCCCAATGCCAGAATGTACCCTGGTGCCAAAAGAATTCACTGGCCAACTCTTCTCAAAGCCCTCCACTCAGGAAACTTAATCCTGTCTTTGCCCAAAACGTTCTTTCTGCATAACACCATTGAAAGCAACACCTTGAGAAATGTTCAATGAAAGACAAGTCTTCAACCCTCCTTCAAGATCTCAGTTCTAGAGAGACTCCAGGGCCCTTATCCTCTCCTGCAGGCCAGAGGTGTGGGGGGTGAGAGGATTCACCAGAGACAGAGTGGGGAGCACAACAGGCGGAACTACTGAAACACACTGCTGAGGGGAGCAGCGGGGAGACAGGAGAGGTCTGCCGCCCTGTGGGTCGGCTCCCTGGCCGGGGACAGAGCTCGTGCTGCAGCGGCTGCTGACAGCTTCATAGTGCTGAGACTTAACCCCTGAGCCACCAGGGAGGCCCCCCTCTCCTGTATTTTAAGGGATTGAGTGCAATCCTGCTTGGCAATTACCCCTATTTCACACATAAGGTTGACAGGGGGCACCACTTCCCGGAAGTCACACGCAATCTCTGTCCGCACCCCTTCGCTTCCCAGGTGTGGCGGGCCATGCTTCCAGCCCAGGCCACCCTTACCAACACTGGCGAAGCAGGATTTTGAAGCCGTCAGGGCAGCTGGAGGGCACAGGCAGATGGAGACTGTTGCTTCCCACACCCCAGATGATGGCTGAGGAATCCACATCTTTGTAGGGGATCTCACCAGTCAGCAGTTCCCACAGCACCACACCAAAGGACCTGGGGATGAGAGGGCCCCTCACTGGGAAAGGCTCTCCTGAGGCCTTGACTGCTGCAGATCCGTGTTGCTCGCAGCCTCGGCAGCCCCCTCCCTCCCTGTCCGGCCACCTGCTATTCTCAGTCCTCAGCCTGGTCCTCACCAGATGTCGACCTTCTCAGACACAGGCTCATTGCGGATCACTTCGGGGGCCATCCAGGCCACTGTCCCTGCAAAGGACATCTTGGTGCTCTTGTCACTCAGCTCCTTGGAAGTGCCAAAATCGGAGATCTTCACCACATCGTCGTACGTGATGAGCATGCTGGTAAAGAGTGTAGTCAGCTGGGGTCCCGGCCCCGACATGCCTCACCTAGCTGCAGTAACTCTACTTTCTAGTTTACTAATATTTAAGATTTTATTTATTTATTTATTTTTGCATAGAAGATCTGGGGTGCAGGCCAGAGATGGGGGGGGGTGAGAGGATTCACTATAGAGACAGTGGGGAGCAGAACAGGTGCATCCCTGCTGAGGGATACACTGAGGATACACTGAGATACACTGCTGAGGGGAGCAGTGGGTGAGAGGTCTGCCGCACCATGTGGGCAGCTTCCTGTCTAGGGATCGAACTCAGGCTGCTGTGGAGGACCGTCAAGGTGTTAGCTCTATCACCTTGACCCCTAGGCCACCAGGGAGAGCCCCTCCCACCTTTCTATTTTAAATCATCTGGGATACCCAGAAGCAGGGTGTCCACCACAGCCCTTCCAAGATAAGAATGTCACTTGGAGAGGGTTTCTGAGACGGCCACAGGGCTTGGGCAGGGTCTGAAAGCATGGAGAGGGCCACAGGCTTGGGGTGGGTCTCTTAAGGTCATGCATGCCAGCTTCTCCCTGCTTGTTTGCTTACTTACTTGGGGGACTTGAGGTCTCGATGGATAATCTTGTGCAGATGCAGGTAGTTCATGCCACCAGCGATGCCCATGGACCAGTCAACCAGCAAGGAGGGGGTGACGGGCCGGCCGGCCCGCAGTACCTCATACAGCTGGCCCTGGGCGCAGAACTCCATGAGGATGCAGTAACAGGGAGCCTGGGTACACACGCCCCTGGGGAGCCAACACAGTGACATGAAGGCCCCGGCTAGCCTGGCCATCGCCCCATTCACCCTGAAGCCCCATCCCCACCCATGTCACTTGGGCGTCTGCTAGGAAGGGTGGGGTGGACCCCTGCTACCCAAGTGGGTCCCGGCCCTCAACGCAGCCCCTGCCCTGGACCTCACTTGAAGGTGATGATATTGGGGTGCTTCAGCTTTCGCAGGTGCTTGATGTCCGTCTCCTTCAGGTCCCGTACCTTCTTCACAGCTACCTCCTCCCCGTGAAAGCGCCCCAGGAACACAGCTCCCTGGGCCCCAGAGCCCACCCACTGCAGGTCCAGGATTTCCTCAAAGGGGACCTCCCAGAGGTCTGTGGAGAGGAAAAACAGTGGCACAAGGCTCAGCGGCGGCCATGTTCGGGCCTTTGTCGTAGCCAGGCAAAGAGCAATACTTGGCTCGGCCGAAATGACTCAGGGAGGGGGAGGCAGCACAGTAGTGAGAACAGGCCAGGAAGACTAGGTCTGAATGAAGGGGACGGAGACGCCTGGGGAGCCAGTGGCCGCTGGATAAGGGCCAGGGCTGGGCTCTGGGAAGTCATCAAGTGACAGGTAGGGCTGGTCATCAGATCTCTGACTTGGGGAGACAAGGGGAGGGCCCCCCATGAGCACACGACCTACCTTCCTGTTGCTGCTTGTGCTCCGTGGAGTAGGCTTTGCCAATCATGGTCCAGACAGGCCGCAGGCAGCCAAAGAGGCCTTCCAGGAAGCCGCTGCCGCTCTGGCACTGCAGTCGCACCTCATCTGCTCGAACTCTGGACGCCCGACTCTCAGGGGACCCAGCAGCTCCCCCCGGGCCCCCTGCATCCTGCTCATGCAGCTGCAGGACACTGTTGGCGAAAGGCTCAGGGGGCGGCTCTCCACCCGGGGAGGGGCTGGGCCCGCCCCCGCCCTGCCCGCCAAGAGGCACGACATCCCGCAGTACACACTGGGTAGGTGTCAGGTCCTTCTCGGGGGTGCAGTCAGAAGTGTCTGGGTCCAGCTTGCGCATGGACGCCTCACTGAGGGTAGACACGAAACCCCCAAAGGAAGGGGAGGGTGTGCGGGTCTCATGGAGGCAGGCCATGACCTCTGGGCCCTGGTGTGAGTGACGGACCCTGTGTGGAACAAGAGGGAGAGGCCGTCAGAGCCACAGGTGTGTCAGGTCAGGGTCCTCACGCCAGAGGCAGGGGCCCGAGCTGGGGAGTTGGGATCACAACATCCCTCCGGGAAACAAGACCGCGTCTCCCCCTCAGGAACGCATTCCCCCTCAGGAAACCCGATAGGCTTGGGCCTCGTAGGGTAAGGTAAAAAAGCATCAGTCTTTTCTGCCCTCCCGCCATTAGGATGGATGATAGATCCTTGCGGTCCTGAACGCATGCCTGATGGCGGCACCTGGAGCGGGGTGTGGGCCTATGGAGATGGGATTCACCTGGGCTGAGCCTGGGCTTTTAAAGTCGGCGTCCCGGGGGCGCCAGCAGAACCACGAGAGAGCAGAGAACAAGAGCACGAGAGAAGGCCGGAGAGCCCAGAAAGAGTGAAGACTTGCTGGGGGCCAAGAGGCCTGCCAGCCTCCCGGCCCCCAGCACCCCTGCCTGCCGTGTGCCTGGTAAATCCCAATAAAAGCCTGAAAAGCCACTGAGGGCTCCTAGGACTCCCTCCTCTACCCGTCGGCTCAAATCACAGAGAGCCTGCTCTGTGGCCTCCTGCCCCTACAGGCCTCCTCTCAGACATAAGTTTTCCTCACAAGTGCAGGGAACATACCTATCATCCTTCTCAGGTAGACGCAGGCAAACTGTGTCTCAAGCAAGTACTAATGGCACAAACTAATCCCTGAGACCTGTAAGATTCCCATAATTCATCTCTGCAGCACTCATTTCTTTCACCTGAGGCTCACAGCACGCAAGCCAAACAAGGGTCCCTCAGATGTATACCCTTGAGTCTCAACTGTAGGCACACAGGAGTGACACGCCTAAGCCTCTCAGAGCAACACAGCACAAGGGACACTGGCCGCACTCCATGCCAGCTCAGGTGCCATTCCTGGAGCTCCCACTCATGACCCCATGCATGACACAACCGAGGCCCTTCAGCAACACTGAACTCCAGTGAGGGGCTTATCCTGAGGCCCACTTAGAGCTCACACCTGGGCCTCCCTCCCGGGTGCTCGCAGGTACACATCTGAACGTCTTCAAGGTGAGTGAAGGTTGTGCACACAGCTCCACTATTGGCCCAGTAAATCAGGAAAGGCAGGCCCATTCAAGGGGGTGCAGACACTGTGTCAGGACAAGCTGCAGTCTACTGAGGCCTCCCGGGGGTCCAGCTGCTCCCCGGGGATCAGCTAGAGAAAGGCCTGCTTCCTCTCTTGCTCCAGGGCCCCACTCCCAGCTTCTCAAACTAAGACGCAGCTTTCCAGACAGTGGGGGTCCGTCCCAGTTCAGACCTGGGAGCTATTTATTTATTTTATATTCAAACGGGCAGGATTATTATAAAAAGGGGAGAGACGGGATGTCAGGGATGCTTGCACAGACACAAGTGGGCAGAAAGAGCTGCCCCTGAAAGAAAGAGGTTTGTTACAAGAGAGGCTGCGTAGTCCCAGGCGGGCAGCCTAGAGAGAGCTGCCTCAGTGCTTTGCCAAGGGAGAAGGTTGGCGAAGAGCAACACCTGCAGTCACAGGCCGGCAGGAGGGCTGCTGCTGGGTGCAATTTAAAAGCAACTGTTAAAAAAATCTGAATCCTGGGCCTCCCTGGTGGCGCAGGGGTTAAGTCTCAGCACTATCAAGCTATGGCCAGCCACTGCAGCAGGAGTTCGATCCCCAGGCAGGTAGGTGACCCACATGGTGCAGCAGACCTCTCCTGTCTCGCCTGCTGCTCCCCTCAGCCGTGTATTTTGTCAGTCTGCCTGTTCTGCTCCTCATTCTGTCTCTGGTGAATCCTCTCACCCCCCACAACTCTGGCTTACACCCCAATTCTTGAATGTATAAATAAATCTTTAAAAAAATTAAAATCTGAATCCTAGCTTTGCCCCTACCACTTCCACTTCCTGGCTGCTGTATTTGGTCCTCAATTTCTCCACCATACAAAGGGACAAACTAGCTGTCATCAGACACAGTGAACTCTTCAACCTGTGCCACACTTGACCAGAGTTTGACACCACACACCTCTGACCCACACCCTTGTTCTTTTTTCTTTCTTTTTTTTTTTTTAAAGATTAATTTACTTATACAAGAACTGGGGTACAGGTCAGAGGCACAGGAGGGTGAGAGAATTCACCAGAGACAGAGCGGAGAGCAGAACAGGCAGAAGGACCGAAGCACACTGCTGAGGGGAGCAGCGGGCGAGGCAGGAGAGGTCTGCCGCGCCATGTGAGATTCTCCCTGGCCGCCCGGGAATCGAACCCGCGCTGCAGAGGCTGTGGACAGATTCACAACGCAGCGCTCAACCCGCTGCGCCACTGGGGAGGCCCTCCTTTTTTTTAATAGTTAAAAATTTTTAAAGATTTATTTATTTATACAAGAACTGGGGTACAGGCCAGAGGTGCGGGGAGTGAGAGGATTCACCAGAGACAGAGTGGGGAGCAGAAGAGCGGATGTACGGAAATACACTGCTGAGGGGAGCAGCGGGCCAGACAGGAGAGGTCTGCTGCACCATGTGGGTCAGCATCCTGGCCAGGGATCAAACTCCTGCTGCAGTGGCTGGCAATAGCTTGATAGGGCTGAGACTTTAATCCCTGTGCCACCAGGGAGGCCCAGGATTCAGATTTTTTAACAGTTGCTTTTAAATGGTACCTAGCAGCAGCCTGGAATCTGCATATTTAATGAGCACCTCAGATACTTTTGAAAAGCTCTGACCCAATGCTGTTCTGTTTTCCTTGCTGTGGCCTCACACTGCCTTAATTCTAGTCTCATCAGTTGCCTCACCTGGCCCAGGACAGCTCCCTTTTAAATGGTCTCCAGGTTTTCCAGGGCTCCCACCCTGTTCCCCACTTCGCTTCTGAGAGGATCTATTTCTAAATCACAGAGGCCGGCATCCCTTCTTCAACTTTTTTTTTTTTTAAAGATTTATTTATTTTTATACAAGAGCTGGGGTACAGGCCAGAGGTGCGGGAGGGTGAGAGGATTCACCAGAGACAGAGCCGGGAACAGAACAGGCAGACTGACTGAAATCCACTGCTGAGGGGAGCAGCGGGCGAGACAGGCGAGGTCTGCTGCCCTATGTGGGATTCTCGCCGGCGCGCCGCGATGGAACCTGCACTGCAGAGGCTGCGGACAGCTTCACAGTGCTGCGCACAACCCGCTGTGCCACCGGGGAGGCCCCAGCATCCCTTCTTCTGCTTCAAACCCTTAGTAGCCCCAGTGACCTTGGTCCAGAGGCCTCACCTCAAAGTCCTGACCCCTCTCCAGCCTCCCTCCACACTGTTGGTCCTCAGGCCATGCAGCACTGAACCACACAGCACACTCGGTTAGGCTTCTGTGTCCCGGCACCTAACGACAACAGCTGACTCGAATGGAAAGCTCCAGATGGATGCTAACCCATGACAGGTGCCTTCGCTCATTTAGTCCTCAACACAAACTCTAAGGTAGGTATTCTCAAGCCCAGAGTAAGCTTGAAAGAGGCTCAATGGGGCCTCCCTGGTGGCGCAGGGCGTAAAGTCTCAGCACGATGAAGCTAGCCGCAGCCAGGAGCTACCCACATGGCGCAGCAGACCTCTCCTGTCTCCCTGCTGCTCCCCTCAGCCATGTATTTCAGTAGATCTGCCTGTTCTGTTCCCCACTCTGTCTCTGGTGAATCCTCTCACCCCCACCCCTCTGGCCTGTACCCCAGTACTTGTGTGCATAAGAAATCTTTAAAAAAACGAGGCTCAACTCTGTGCACCCCCCTCTTCCCCAAGGCCTACCAGGAAAGCTCTCCTCAATCCCCATTTCTTCTCCAAGCCTCATGCACCCAGCCCCTAGGTCCACCTCCCGCTCCCCCTCCAAGCTGCTGTCCCTTCTGGGCCGCCAGAGCTCATGCGCCTCCTCCCTCGTGGCTCCCGCTATGCTGGGTGCGGCGTGACCGGCCTCTGGCCCCTGACAGCCGGGACTCCCGGAGAGCGATGACTTCACTCGGGATCCCAAGGCTGGGGCAGCGGGAGGGTGCTCAGGAAGGGGAGCCCGCCGCTCCCCGGCGAGGGTGTCTAAGGCCCGCGCGAGCTCGGCTCCCCCACGCCCCAGAACCACCGCGCAGGAGGGTCGCCACTGGCCCCTTAAAATTCCTGAGAACACTGCGCTCGGAGGGCTGAAATCCCAGCGAACCCCCAAAACAGCTGCGCCGCGGCCAGAGGCTGGACGACACCGCCGTGCAAACGGGGCAAACAGCCCTCGCGGGGGCCCGCGCCCCGGGAGCCCCTGCGGACCCCGAGGGCTCTAGCCGGCGCCCCCCGCACCGGGCTTTCGGCCGGATCGCCGAGCAGGGCGGCCGCGGGCCCCGCGGGCCAGGAGGGGCGGCGGCTTCGGGGCGCCCGGCCCGCCCGGTGCCCGCGAGGCCGGGGCGGGGGGGGTCGTGCCCAGCACCCCGCCCTCCCGACTTCGCTCCGGCCGTCGCGCGGCGGGGCCCCGGCGAGGGGGGGGTCTGCGCGGGGCGGGGCGGGGCCGCGGCGGGCGGTGGGGAGCGCCGGGCGCTGCGGCGTAACCATGACGACGGGGCCCCAGGCGGCGCGTGAAGTCACCGCGCCCAGATTAGCCCGCGGTCACGTGGGGGGCGGGGCTGGCCGGGCCCCGCCCCTGACCCCGGCTGGCCTCGTGCTGGCGGCCCCGGCCCCGGCCCGCGAGGCGCGACCCGCGGCGGCCCTGGGGCTCCCCGCCCGCGCGCAGACAGCCCGGCTGGCCCTGGGCAGGCCGCGCCGAGCGGGCGTGGGCGGGAGACGCGGCGAGACGGAACCGGGCGGCGCGGCGGGAATCGCCCGAGTCAGACCCGACGAGGCTGGATGGAAGAACCGGAGGACACGGCGGGGAGACGGGCCCGAACGCGCGGCCCGCGGCGCCTCCCGCCCGGTCCGCTGTCGGCGAGCGGAGCTCCGCGGGGGCGCCACACCCAGCTTTTTAAGAGAATCTTTCGGGCTTCACCTGCCGGTTGGCAGCTGGGAGGCTCTGCCCAGGGAGGCGGCTCTTCGCCCGGCCTCGCTCCAGCTTCCCCAGGGGCCCCGTATCCAGGGCCAGCGCTGAGGCGAGAGAAGCCATTTCACCTGCTTGTCGCGCCGGGCAGCGAAGTAGCTGCAGGAGCAGGAGCAGGGATGGCGCTCAGGGGAGGGAGGGGCTCTGCCAGCTCGAGCGCCCTCCACCCTGCTGGGAAGCTCAGGACAACTCTTCTAGAGTGACCTGAATGCTCGGGGCAGAGTCCGTCCCCAGGGAGCTGGAGTACCCTGGAGAGTCCTCTCTCCCCGCAGCCCCCTCCTTTATCTCTGGCCTGCCAGCTGTGTCCTACTGCCCCAGCTGGCCTTGGCGCCAGGGTTTTGGGGGCTGTCATGGTTAGGAGCCCCTGGCCCAGACGTTTGTCATCCTGGGGGAGGGGCGCTGTCTCCCGGGCCATCAATTATGCAGGGCATGGGGGAAGGGCAGGGACTTGGCAGGTGGGGTGGATGTCACAGTCACTCAGTCAGCCACACTTCCCCAGTGTTTACTTTGTGTAGAACTCTGCCCTAGCTAGAGTGAGGGGACAGGGGAGCCCCTCGGCTTCACATCTTCCACAGAACTTGTTCTTGGACACCCTGGGGGAACTGAGTGCCCTTCTGGAGCCTGCAGGGGTGGAGCAGCGGTAGGGAATCCCCCACCTCACTCCTGCCATTCTCCTGCCGAGATGCTAGAGGCCTGTGAATTGTCTCTAGCTCCCTCCTAACAGTGGAACCTCAGTGCCAAGCTGCTGGCCTGGCTGTCTTGGTCAGCTGAGAGGCCAGGCTCTCTACTTCATGGGGTCTCACACTCAGCGTTTGCTGGCCTTGGACCCCATTTTGAACTGAGGCAAAAGGGGAAGCTTCCTTTTCTCCCCGAGTGGGAGTGGGAAGGAAGGTCCTTACAGGGAAGGACACCAGGGCTTTGGGGCGCCAACTCCAGCTCTGCAGACGCTGGACTCTTGAGCGGATCAAGGATGCTCTGCCCCATCATGCTCATGCCTCCCGCACTTGCTTTTGTGTTGCTTCTCACAGGATCTAGGGCCCTGGCCCCAGGGTTGTCCCATCAGCTGGAAGGGACCACAGCTCTTGTCAGTGTGCTCTCAGGGGGAAACAGTTCTCCTGGGAACCTGGAGAAAACCGGAGATCACCCTAAATCCAGGCACCCAGCCTCACAGAGGTCAAGCCCCAGGGCCCTTGGGCACCACTCCCTCTTACTCTGGCCGAGTGGGGGAGAGGGCAACAGCACTGTTTAGGGAAAAAGAGCCAACTTTGGATTTGGGGAGATCAGAGCTAGCACCTCGGTGTGGGACGAGTTAGTTTTTGGAATGCAGCCTCTGTCAGACTCCAGCTCAATCTCGGCTCGCGGCGGGGTAGGTGAGCCACAGGGAAGCCCGAGCACAGTGCTTGGCTTCTGGCTTTGTCCTCCAGGTTGGCCGGACAGTGGGTCTTTGTGGATTCTGGAGAGGCCGTCTCTTCCACCTGACCAGAAAAAGGGGAAACTGGGGCTCCGACCTTCTACTTCCCAAGGACAAATCTTAATTTCAGGTTCCAGTGGAACCAGGTCACAAGGACAGTCCTTCCTCTATCAGGTCTGGCTTCCCTCTACAGACCCGCTATTCCACCTCCTCTGGACTGAGGGGAAGGCCTAACTCCCTGCACCCCACCTTTACCCCCTGGCCAATACGGCCTGGGATCACCCTTTAGCCCTCCGTTCCCATTAAGGTCTAGGGGGAGAGAAGCAATGTACTGTGGGTGACAAGAGTTCTTCCTGCTTGGAGCTTATATGGACCTAGAAGCTCAGCCCATAACAAAGAGCTCCTGAGCTGGACGTGCATTTAAAACCTAGAAGGAATTGTGGGTATTTTTATTTTCTTCTTGTGGCTTAACTATATTTTACAATATTTGTGCGATGACTTTGAATTGCTTTTAAAATAAGAAAGCAATCTATCTTAAATAGAAAAAGATGAAATAAAAATTATGGAGCGCCTAGCCATTCCTGCCACCTGGCTCGGGAACACTATACCGTGGAGGAGGGTGGTGGCCTCCGAATCCGAGGTGTGTCAAGGTCCTGCCTCTCTGTTCCTGCCCTGTTGGGCAACCCCGATTATGACTTCCTAGCAAACCTCAGTCTTTTCCTCTCCAGATGGCCGGTGGTATTATGTCACCCAGCGGCAATGCAGTATAGACGAGGTGGATCAGAGCAAGGGCCCTGGGGCAGACAGACCTGGGTTCATCCTAAGTTTGGGGACGGGGGCTAGGAGAACGGGTAAAGGCGTCAACTGTAAGGTGCTAGGTAGAAACTGGGCTTTTGGTGATGACGTGCTGCAGCGGGTACGGATGTGAAAGGATAACACTGTTCTGACGTTTACAGAATGTTATAAACCAGTTTCCGCAATTAAAGTTCCTTTAAAAGTCCTAAGTTTTTTTTGCCACACACGGATTTTCCTTATTCTGAACAGATCACTTAACTTTTTAAAGTTTCTACTGTAGAGATGCTCACACCAGCTAACTCGCAGGCCTGTTGGGGACCTTACTGAGATAATCCAGACACAGTTCCCGGCCCAGGACTGAGGACGCGGGAAGCTTCTCACAAGCATTAGCCGTGTGGAAAGTGCAGAATAAGTAGTAGTTTGTTTTTTTTATAAATGTGATCCCCTTCCTTCTTTATCCTCCTCAGAGGCAGTAGGGAGGGCACGGGTGGAGGCAGTGAACATACACGAGGGGCGCAAAAAAGGGCAGAGAAAGAAACCAAAGGCACGGGCTGGTGATCCTGGGGGCTCTCTCTGGGGTAGCGCGCCTGCCTCCTCCTCTCCTGCTCCCCTCACACATGGCCCAGGCCTCTGGGAGCAAATGAAGCAGGACGACCAATCTCTGCGTCCAACCCCTCACGAAGCCGAAGCCCCTATGTGCCCAGCTGGCATCATCTCAACACAATCCCCCTTCGGCCCCAGCAGGGGCTCCCAGAGGGCTGACTCCCAGACCTTTTTCTCCCAGACCCTGGCAGGACAAGCTGGGAATGCACACGGTCAGCCATTGGGCGACTCTGGGGTAGAGGGACTAGAATTTAGGATCCTCTTACTGGCAAAACTTGATGCCCACATCGCCACCTCCAGGGGGAGGACTAAGAAACAGCACTTGGTATTTAGAGGGGCCCTGCCATCTTCAGCTGTAAGGACACGCAGGAAGTCCCGAGCCACTCTCTTCCTTAAACTTCTTGCCTCCTCTGGGTTGGTTATTTAGTTGTGTTTTCACATGTGCTGGAGTTGGGGTGTCACACTGTCGGCCCTCCCAGCGGCACCTCAGTCTCCCCTGTGAGTGATGGCTGAGGGGCAGATGCCTTTCTCCACCCTTGAGCATAAAACGGGTGAGGACAGGCCTTAAAGCTCAGAGGACCCTCAGCCACAGGAAGGCCCAGGGTACACCTGGACGGACCCTTCCTCCCTAAATCCCTTCCACTCACCTTCCCCTTCGGGCTCTCTGACGTAAAGTCGGAGCTCACAGAACCAGAGTCCACCCCGCGAGTTGAAAGGGAAGTGGTGTTTCTAGAGGTGTATGCTGGGAGGACTCTGGGTCAGGACAGACCTCCTCTTTGAGGGCCTCTCCACCCAATAGGGAGCAGGTAAAGGAGTTCAATTCTGAGGCAGAATTATTTCCTCCCACTGTCTATGGAGCCTCTGAGCCGTTCTCTCTCCCCTCAGCCAAGGCCATGGTTATCTCAATTCTGCAGAAAGGATTCCTGCTTATTTTTTAAGGCAAGGAATTCAAGGGGTGTGTGGAGAAAAGAGGGGAGGTTCTGGAAGGGCCTGGGCTGGGGAGCGGGGAAGGAGGACCAGAGGGGATGGAGAGAAAGGGAGAAAGCCACCTCCGAATGGGGGAGGGGAGGATGCAACAGCTGGATGGAGCGGAGAATGCCACAGCTGGAGGAGATCAGGGGCATCGGCGCGCAGGGGAGCATCACCTGGGCATCCGGAGACAGCCGCGCTCAGCCCAGGATGCTCAGGTGCAGCCTGCTAAGTGCTGGGGGAGGAAGGAGGACGGCGGTGCGCCGGGCCTTGCCTTTGCTTTCCTCCCCGAAAGGGCCAACTCTCACCTCCGGGAGACCCAGCGCGAGGCTGAGCGGGCGGAGAGGATGTTCTCTTCCCGCTGTCCTTCCCGTCAGGCTCCCCAGCATCCCTCCGCCCGCAGCCCTCACGGTCCTTCCAGCCCCCAGGCCCCCCGCCTCCAAGCCGGGCCGCCGCAGCCCTCCTCCGCTCCCCGCCTGCCCATCCCCGCGGGCGTCGGGTCCAGGTCCCCAGCTCCTGCATCCCTGCGGCCTCGGCATCCCCGCGCCGCCCGCCCCCGCCCGCCGCCTCGGCCTCGCGACCCTCGCGCGGCACGCGGACCCCAGGACCCGGGCCCCTCCGGGCCCCCACCCCCCACGACTCGGCCCGGCTCTCACCTCGGGGGCTCCGCGGCCGCAGCACAAAAGGCGGCGCTGCAGCAGCTCGGCTCCGGATGCTGCTCCCGCCTCCTCCTCCTCCTCCTGCCGCCTCCCCCCGCTGCCCTCGGCCGGACCCGGGCGCTGTCGCGGGCGAGGCTCGTGCGGGGTCCTGGCGCTCGGGCGGCGGCCCCGGCCTCCTCCCCCCACCCCCCTCCCGACCCCGGCCAGGCCCCGCTCGGCTCGCACTCCCGCTCCTCCCCGGGCCCCCGCCCCCGGCCCCCCGGGACGGACACGCCCTGAGCGGAGGCTGCTGCGCCGGAGCCGCCGGCCTCTTAAAGGAGCCCGCAGCCGCCCGCGCGCCGGCCCGGGCCGGCCTCCCCGCGGCGGGGCGCGAGCCTCACGGCCCCGGCCCGCTCGGAATGCCCGAGCCCGGCGGGCCCGTCCCCCCGCGCGGCTCCAGGGGCCGCCCTCGCCCGCCGCCGCCCCCGGCCCCCGCCCGGCCTCGTGCGCCCGATGACCCGTCGTCGCGCCGAGGCCCCGGCCGCCCCGGCGCGGGGAGGGACCCCCGTCCCGCCGCGTTCCCTAAGCCACGCGCGCTCGCGCCTGTCCCGAAGGTCACGGGCTCACGGGGGCCGCGGGCGCGGGCCCGGCCGGGAGGGGCGGGCCTCGGGGGCTGGCGGGGGGGGGGGTCTGGCTCGGGGCCGCTCAGCCTCGAGGGGCGGAGGGGACCTGCTCGCGGCCCTTCGGCCGAGGCCCACGGTGGAGGCGGGGACGTCCACGCGCCTCGTCCCCGTCCCGCCCCCGACGGCCCGGGCCGTCCCGAAGGGGCCCGAGGCGAGCAGGAGCCCCGAGGGCTGCGCGGCGGAGTGAAGGGGCGGGGGCGGAAGGACACCTAGGAAGGGGCCACTTCTCTGAGGCCGGGGCGCGACGGCCGGGCCTCGGGCCAGGGCTCGAGGGCAGCTGTCACCGACGGCCGCCAGGTGCGCCCGCCCCGGGAGGGCCGAGCCGGGGCCCGACGGCGGCCTCGCCCCTGGACCAATCACGACCTCTCCCCGTCAGGGGGCGGGGCCAGGGCGGACCCACTCCCCGCTGTCCCCGCCCCTCTGGATGAAGCAATCAATCGCAAGCCCCCTAGAGCAGCTGAGCACGGTGGGGACGAGCCAATCACGGCCCACAGCGCCCCGCGCATGCGTGACCCTGCCCATTCAGCTGCGACAAAGCCGGCGCGCGAGCTCTTGGGTGTTGCAGTTTTCTCGGAATTCGGAGCGCTGTCCCCCTCCCCCCACACACCTGTCCCGGGCTCGAGGCCGCCCTCACTGTCCCGCCCCCAGCCGCTTCCATCCTGCTAGTACGCATGCGCAGAGCCTCAGCCCAAGGCGGAGAGGGACACGGAAGGAAGGGGCGGGGCGCCATCTACGGAGAAAAAACAACCCAAAACAAAAACCGCCCATCTGCCCGCGAAGAGACGGCGGAGGGGCCCGCTCCGCCCTGAAGGCGGTGCTGTGTGCCGGGGGCCCCTCGCGGAGGGTTGTGGGGCGGAGAGCTCCCCCCTGATGGAGACGCATGGAGCCGGGAGGGCGGGGGACTCCATCTCCCAGCATGCCCCGCGGGGCCCGGCCGGCCGCGACTCCGGGCTCGCCCCGGCCCTAGCGCGTCGGCGGGGTTTCGGGGCGCGCGGAGGCTGCAGTCACGGTGGCGCCCGCGGGGACGGAGGAGGGAATGAGTGAAGAGGAGCAGGGCTCCGGCACTACCACGGGCTGCGGGCTGCCCAGGTGAGCCGCCTCGGCCCGCTCCCTGCGCGCGAGAGCGCGGCGCGGCGCGGGGTGGAAGCGGCGCGGCCCCAGCATGCACCTGGCCCGAGGGTGCTTCCCGGCAGGCACCGTGGTCGTGGTTGGTGGTTCCCGGCATGCACCTGGGCAGTGGCCACTGCCTCCAGCTCTAGTAGCTTGGGTTGGCCGGGTTCCCAGACTGCACTGGGGCGCAGGGCTTTATGCCCCCGACATTCAGTACATTTGGTGGGTACGGGGTTCCTGGCCTGCACTCTCAGGGGACATGCACTTCAGCCTGCACTGGGGGACAGGACCCCCCACCCCCCAGCCTTAACTGAGGCAGGGACAGGGCATTCCCTCGCCTGCCCTGGGGCAGTGGACCCTGCTTTCCCAGCCTGCACCTCTACTCCGCATTGAACCCAGCCAATGGCTGCTGTACTGCCTGGGGTCCCCTGGACCCTGTGTCCCCCATAGTGCTCCTGGGCCTGACATAGCCGTGCTTGGCCAGGTGGGTGCAGAGAAGGGAAGTGTGATGAGGGTCTGTGCCCCCCTCCCAGTATAGAGCAAATGCTGGCAGCCAACCCGGGCAAGACCCCGATCAGCCTTCTGCAGGAGTATGGGACCAGAATAGGGAAGACGCCCGTGTACGACCTTCTCAAAGCCGAGGGCCAAGCCCACCAGCCTAATTTCACCTTCCGGGTCACCGTTGGCGACACCAGCTGCACTGGTGAGGAAGGCTTGGGCAGCCTGGCCGGGGTGTGCATTCACAGGGCCCCATTAGCTTGGTTTCTTGGAATCTCTTCACAGTCCTCTTCTCCAAGGCCAGTGAGGAAGGGAGAGATTGCAGGGGGAAGTCACTGACTGGATTGGGAGAACAGGAGGCGGGTGTGGACGTGGGAGAGTTAGAGGAGCAAGCAGGACGCCACAGTGACCGTGCAGGTGATCATCATCGGAGAGGAAAAAGAAAGGAGGGAGGGAGCATCCCGCTGTGCCGGGCTCTGTCCCAGGTGCTAAACCAAATACCTAGGCCGTCTCCAAACTCAACCTGCTCCAGTGACGTTGCTGCTGGTATCCTCCTGTTGAATGTGAGGAAACTGAGGCTCAGAGATACTCAGTGCCTGGTGTAAGGTCACATGCCTTGTAAGAGGCAGAGCCAGGCTTTGACTCTAGAACGAGTTCTCTTTTGCTGTTCCAGCCATCTCTGTCTGTTGAGAGAAGACAGTGCTTTCTGGAAGGAAGTCAGTCAGAGATCGAATCCCGTTCAGGAAATCTATGCTCAGTAGTTCTACCTGACATAGCTTGATTTGGGGAGCTCATGGGAAGATAAGGACCCTTCCTTCCAGCAAGTGGTGTAACATTTCCAGCCTTGCGCAGGGGGAGGTCATGAGGAGAGGCTGTGGGATGCTGTTTCCCCTTCTGTCCTTCCAGTGACCTCCAGTATTGCCCACGCCCCCTCTCTCAGGTCAGGGGCCCAGCAAGAAGGCAGCCAAGCACAAGGCAGCTGAGGTGGCCCTCAAACACCTCAAAGGGGGGAGCATGCTGGAGCCAGCCCTGGAGGACAGCAGGTGAGGGGGGAACAGCCCAGGCTTCCTAGAGGCCCTTCCAGGAACCCTACCCTGCCCAGGAGGCCCGGTCTGGTGACACAGCCACCTTGAGCTGGCCTCCTCCTCAGTTCCCTCTGGATCCGAGCAGACTGCTTCCGCAGTTTCCACTGTGAAGGATTCTGGGGGGGTGAGGGGAATGGCCAGCTCCAGTGGGGGGTTATGGCTGTGGTTTGGGGCCCAGGTTAGGGAGGGAGAGAGGTGGAGGCTGAAGAGAGTTGCTCCCTAACATGTCTCCTCTTTCTAGAAAGATGCCCTTCTCCCTTCCACACTCCTATGATTCTTGCTTCAGTTTGTTTAATGGGGTGTTTGGCAGCAAAGGATCCCTAGGAAGGAGCTCTGATGGTTGAGCTTTGGCTCGAGTGGGAAGCAATTTTCTTAGGGTATGGGCAGGTCTGGAGGACCTGGGTTCCTCATCCTCTAGCGCCCCCTCATCATGTGTGTGAATCAAAGGCACCCTTCCCCTCGGGAAGTTTTTTTTCTCCCCTAGACTCTTCACTGCCTGAGGACGTTCCAGTATTTACCGCTGCAGCGGCTGCTCCTCCTGTTGCATCTGCTGTCCCAACCAGGTATCTTGCGACTCCTGACTGCCTGAGGAGAGGGGAGGGACGGGCCCTGCTCCTGGCCCCCAGACCTTGGTCCCAAGCTGGTCAGGCATGAGGAATTCAGAGTAAACAGAGGATGGAATAATTGGGGACCAGTTTGAAGAATTTGCAGCAGCCGATAAGCCCATGTGGATGGTGTCAAGGGTCTCGTGGCTTCTGTATCGGCTACAAGACGGTCCTGGGTTTGCGGCCCATCAGGTGCCTCCAGGGACTGGACATATGGCCCCTCCCACTGCCTGGCAAGGTGATGGTCCAGTATTCGAGGAAATTGAAAAGGGCCTGGCATCCGGAGACCTCACTTTGGTGGGGTGTGGGGAGGCATCAGGCTGGACGTGTGGACAGACGACTGCCTTCCTGGCAGGGAGGACGGAGATGGTAGTGGGGAGACCAGAGCAGAACTTAGGGCTCATGGGGCAGCTTCGAAAGGATCATAGCCTCAGCTGGGCCCTGGGCTCTTTTTCCTTCAGGAGTCCCCCCATGGAGGTGCAGCCCCCTGTCTCCCCTCAGCAGTCTGAATGCAACCCTGTCGGTGCTCTGCAGGTGTGCCCCCCCTTTCCTGTGCATGCCCGTCTCCCCTTGAACCAGGCCTATGAGGGGAGGTTAAGGGGGTGGTGACCCCGTTCTGATGCCTTTTCTCACCCACCCCTCACCCTCCTCTAACCTGGCGCCCCTTGTTTCCCCCTTCTAGGAGCTGGTGGTGCAGAAAGGCTGGCGGCTGCCTGAGTACACCGTGACCCAGGAGTCGGGGCCAGCGCACCGCAAGGAGTTCACCATGACCTGCCGAGTGGAGCGCTTCGTGGAGATTGGTAACCGGCCGGAGGGCGCGGGTGTGGCGGCTCCAGCCCCGGGCTGCTCCGGCCGCTCTGCTCCTTCCTCTCTCCTTTCTTGCCCGTGTCCTTCCCCGCTCTCTGGCATTCTCTGAGGGGCCCCTCAACCCGAGTTTGGTGGACAGCCTGGGTCTTCCCAGTGCCTGCTGCGTCATCCCCGGCAGCCCTCTCCCACACTCCCACACACAGGCAGTGGCACTTCCAAAAAGCTGGCAAAGCGTAATGCGGCGGCCAAAATGCTGCTTCGAGTGCACACGGTGCCCCTGGATGCCCGGGACGGGACGGAGGCAGAGCCTGACGACGACCACTTCTCCATTGTGAGTGGCCTGTGCGGCAGGTGCCGGGCGCCCGGGTGTGTGACTGGGGAGTGAGCCTCTCTGCCCCCCACCCCCGGCCTCCACTGCCCTCTTTTGAACCTGAGGCCCTTCCTGGGCCTCCAGAGTAGGCCCGGGTCTGCCTGGTGAGTGCTGTGGGGCATTGGCCGGGCAGGGCCCTTGCCGGCTCTGTCACCGCAGCGAGGGAGGCCGCCTGGCCTGGGGGGCCGAGCTCTGGTGGACAGGCCTTTCCGGGATCAGCAGGGTGAGCTGGAGGGAGTGTTCTTTGGGCTTTTCTCCCCCAGCTGTCGTTGAAAGTCTCTTACTTTTCTGACTCCTGTGCCCCTGCTTGCGTCTTTCTCACTGTCCTCATGTCACCAGGGCGTGGGCTCCCGCCTGGATGGCTTTCGGAACCGGGGCCCGGGCTGCACCTGGGATTCTCTGCGGAATTCAGTGGGGGAGAAGATCCTGTCCCTCCGCAGCTGCTCCCTAGACTCCTTGGGTGCTCTGGGCTCTGCCTGCTGCAGTGTCCTCAGTGAGCTCTCTGAGGAGCAGGCCTTCCACGTCAGCTACCTGGATATTGGTATGGCTAGTTGGGGGGCTGGGGGCCAGTGGGGACTGGACCAGAGCAAGTACAGATGGGTACTAGAGAGGCCGGGTGGGTGTGGTGAGGACGCAGATACCCCCCTCCCGGGGGCTGACGCCTGCCCAACGTTGCTTCCCTCCCCCTCCCGGTCTCCAGAGGAGTTGAGCCTGAGCGGCCTCTGCCAGTGCCTGGTAGAGCTGTCCACACAGCCCGCCACCGTGTGCCACGGCTCTGCAGCCACCAGGGAGGCGGCCCGTGGGGAGGCTGCCCGCCGGGCCCTGCAGTACCTCAAGATCATGGCAGGCAGCAAGTGATGGACTCACAGACGGGCACCCTCGCTTCCTGCTCTTCCAGCGTCCGGCCCACGCACCTGCCCAGCTGTGGTACCGAGGAGGTGCCATCTCTACCTCTGATGCGGACTGCCTGCCTGCAGGCTGAGGGGGGCTCCGGGCCAGGAGCCAGGGACCACAGGGCCTCCGCTGGCCCAGGATCCTTTTACTGGTGGTGACGAGTGGGAATGAAATTGGCAGGCTCTGCCTGAGAGCCCAGAATAAATACGCTGCTCCTTGGATTCCTAAACCTGCTCTTTCTGTTTCTCCGGGTGGTGCTGATGGCAGAGGAGCTCGGCATCGGCAACACCTGCCTGCTTGTTCCCCACATGTCCCCATGTTTGCCTTCTGGTGGCAGGAGTGGGTGCAGCCACCTCCAGAAAACCCACCTCCTGTGCTCCTGGAGAGTTTGGTGGGAAGAGGGGCCGGTTCCCGCCCTGGGGCTCCCTCCTAGCCCTTAAGTCCCAGACACACACCTGAGGACTCAGCAGGCAGACAGCTTTATTTGGGGGAGACATGGCCCTGCTGAGGGTGGGCCTCGCATGCAGGCGCTGGAGATGACGTCACTTCTTCCCAAAGCGTTGAGGGGCAGCCAGGTTCCAGAACAGGGAGCTGGGGCCCTCCCCAGCGCGGGGGCTCAGCCTTTCATTGCTCCAGGAGCGCGGGGCGTTTCTGCCGAACCTTAGGAGACCATCCTCAGCTGTGGGCTTCCCCGCCGCTCCCGCCCCCGGCCTCCCCGCCCCGCTGGCCCCTGCCTTGCGCCGTCCCTTTCACACTCACCTCTGGGGCTGAAACAGGAACGCCGAGCTCCGGCCCGGCCTCTGCATGGCCTGCAGCAGGGCGCGGAAGAGTGACCCTGCGGTCTGGGCATCCTGTGGCGGGCGGGGCCCGGCGTCTTCCTCCTGTGGGGCGGGGGCATCCGGGAAGGAAGATGGGCAAAGGCCTTGGACTTGGAGGTCACCGGAGGGAGTGGCTTCGGGGGCAAATTGTAGGAGACAGAACAGCCAAGGAAGACGCTGGCAGGCAAAGAACCCTGGAACCTAGAGGACAAGTGTCACGCTGAGACGGCGAGGGGCTGGGGTGCCAACTTACCTGGAGGATGCCGTCTCCTTCCTGCCAGCCCCCGGGGCCTGGGGCGCCGGTGCCGAGGCCGGGGTCTGCCAGGACCAGCAGCGCCAGCAGCAGCACCGTTGCCCGCCTGGAGTCCATGCTGCCGTCTGCCTTCCTGCAGCCACCGCTGCCTCTTATACCTGCGCCCCGGCCCCCGCCCCCCGCCCCCCGCAGCCCGAGGGGACTCTCGCAGGCAGTGGAAATGCACTGCTCCATCAAGAGCCACCTGGGACCCCTCCCGTGGCACCCCTGGGACGTCCTGCTCTCAGCCTCCGGCCCCCAGCCCAAAGCCCGGAGTTAGAGACTTTATTAGATGCATAAATCCTGTCTCCAGAGCTCGGGAAGCATCATTAATTGCAGACGCTGTGGCAGATACAGGCCCTGGAGGGCCTTCAAGAACCCCAATCCCTCAACAGGTTGGCGCGCACCCATTGATCAACTTGTGGAATAGAAGCACAGAGTCCCGTCAGGGAGGGCGAGGCCTCCTGCTCCGCATCTGGGCCGGGCAGGAAGGAGGCAGCGCCAAGTCAGTCTTCGGGCTGCAGTCAGGGTCACACAGGCCCCCCGACTTCGCACCCCGTGGAGGGCTAGACACTGAATTACTGCTGGGGTCACCTGTGACTAGAAGAAAGGAGGCGCGAAAGGAGACGGAAGGTTTCCCAGCCCGTAGGAAGCGGGGGTGGGGCAATCTGTGCCGACGCCGCCCGGGAGAGCCGGGCTGAGGCGCGGTCTCGGCGCCGGGTCGCTGCTGCCACCCTGTGGCCACAGCCCCGCACTGCGGCCCGGCCTCCGCCTCTCGGGCAGGGCGGGGTGGAGGCCCGGAGCCCCGGCGGGGGAGTCCAGCGAGGCCGGGCAGGACCCCGGGGGGCACTGAGGCTTTGTCCACCTCCCTCCTGTCACCGCAGCCGCTGCCTGCCGCGGGCTCTGCCCCGCCGGGGCCGGGACTAGCATCCCGCCTTGGGAAGCACCAGCCACTGCCTCTCAGGGAGGGTCTTTCAAAGGCATGGGGGGGGGGGTGGGGGGGGCGGTTGCCCTTCTGACCCGACTCTTCCTCAGCGCTCCCAGCTGCCCCGGACTCCGTGTCCGCGGGAGAGGGGTGTGGTGGGGAGGGCCTGAGGCCCAGCCTGGAGCGAGCTGCCACCAGCTTCTTCACGAAACACAGCAGCTGCTGTCTGGAGTGAATATTGCGTGAGATTCGTTTTTACGATGCACTCAGCACAGGGCTGGCGCAGAGCACCAGCCTCCACCGTCCCGGGGGATCCTCCCTGCTCACGGGTGTCCCCGGCAGCTTCCCCTCCAGGGAGGGTCTTGGACCACTTATGCTCCGCTCCCTGTGGCCTCCACCAGGGGTCTGGTCCGCCTCAGGAAGTCTCACGGGACACGCTCCTCTCCCTCACGTGTCCGAGTCCCCGCCTGTTTGATGACAGATTGGTCTTCCGCTCGCGAAGGTCTTTTATTGTTCAAGGGGAAGAGTCCCCCGCCCCCTTTTACGCAAGGCATCTAGAAACTAACTTACACTTTGGCTGTTGAGCTGGACCTGTTTGGTTTTTTTTTTTAAAGATTTATTTATTTATATGAGAGCCGGGGTACAGGCCAGAGGTGCGGGGGGGTGAGAGGACGCATCAGAGACACAGCAGGGAACAGAACAGGCAGACAGACCCAAGACACTGCTGAGGGGAGCAGCGGGCGAGACAGGAGAGGTCTGCCGCGCCATGTGGGTAGCTCCGCGGCCGGCGGGGATCAAACCGGCGCTGCAGAGGTTGCGGACAGTCTCACAGCGCTGCACTCAACCGCCCGGGCCACCGGGGAGGTCCTGATCTGGACCTTTTAGAGACTACGTTCCTATTAATGCATCCTCAGTTGGGGGAGCTTTTCTGTGAGCTTTGTCACCATCTGCTTCCAAGCACAAAACCACTGCTGAGAGGAGGTCAAGTCCGTGGGCAGACGACGTCCTGTGGGAAATGGGCGCGGCACCCCAGTTCACCAGTAGAATGAGGCGACCACTGGAGATGGTTGTGAGCAATAAAGGGCTTGATAAATGCCAAGCATCGAGCGTCCTTCTCTAAGAGCAGGTGGCATCAGAGGTTGCTGGAGGCTCACCCCCTGCTGCTCCTCCCTCTGCCATTTTCCGGTCGCCAGTGACAAGCGGCCCCGAGCTGAGGCTGCAAGCAGGAAGGGGCTGGTCTAGCTGGCCCGTGTCCAGAGGGAGGGCTTGGAAGGTGGGAGACTGCCCTGCCTTCATTCTCATCTGCACTCCCCAAGCCTCTCAACCCGGTGTCCACCCTTTTCTGGACCCCCATGACCACAACACTCTCCTGAGGAGACTCAGCCTCCCCATCTGTCAGTGGTATCGTGCATCAGCCTCGAGCAACTTCTAACCTGCTTCTGTCCTACTGGCACACCCGCCGAGGCGCCCGTCTGCCTCACTCTCTTCACTTGCGGTGAAGATTATGAAGGAAAACCCAGAAGAAATTGGCAGGTGTCCTACACCTCGTTGCTCCCCCTAGTTCCTGACAGTCTTTCCTGTTAACTCTTACCTGCTTCAACAAGCTCCACCTCTCATTTCCAAACCAATGTTCCCCCCACATCCCCCCACACCCCCCGAAAATCTTCCCTTTCTGTCTTGTCTCTGAGCGCACTCGCCAGGCACGCTGGGAGCTCCTTGAGGGTAGGGCTCGTTTTGTTTTGCTTGCTGGGAAGTGGGCAGGGGCAGAACATGGAAAGGTGGGAGGTGCATCTCCACGCACAGGACAAGCAAGTGCTCCCAAGATCCAGAGCCCTGGGGCCCAGGGCAGGCCCGGCCTGAGCTCTGGATCCAAGCCGGCTGTTGTGCTGGTCATTTACATAAAGCACCCACCTCCCCCGACGCTGTCTTCCCCAGTAAGGCGGGATGAGAATCCCTGTTCTTCTGTCCTAAGAAACAGGAGAGGGAGGAAGAAAGATCACAGACGTGAACTCCCGGAAAGTTTGGACAACCGGGCCTACAGGTCGCAGCACCGAAGCATGAGACGTAACAGTGTTTCTCTTGATCGTTTAATGTTATATTTGCAGCATAAATAAGGCACAATATATGTCAGGGCAAGGGAGAGAGGGAGAAGGCATGGCCGGGGAGATAACTGCTAAGTGGCGGGGGCACGGGAGGGGTGGTTAGGGAGAAGAGAGCGAAGCCTCCGCCTCAGCCCGGGCCCGGGAGACTGTGAGAGCCTGCTCACAGGGTCATGCTGAGCTGGGGGAGGGGAAGGGCAAAGATGGTTTCATAACAAAATAGCCTGTAGCGCTGCATCCTCCCACCCGTCAAGGTCCACCCGGGGACCCGGGAGGCCCAGCCCTGGGTGGAGACCCTTGACGAGGCGCGGAGTGCCGCTACGTGTCAGGGATACACACATGAACAGAGACGACCGCAGGCGCGCACGGCTTCCCTTACAACAGAGACTGTTGGGAGGCTGCAGCCTCCGCGATTGGGCCGGAGGGGCCTCTCCTTCCTGCCTGAAAGGTGCGCGTGTGCGCTAAAGCTCCAGCTGGCCCTTCCCGTGCAAATAGCGCAGTGACCAGTCTGCAAGGGGTCATGGGCACCTGTCCAGGCTGATGCAGGACAGACTTTAGGGATAGGCAGAAGGAAGACAAACCTAGACTGAGATGAGTGATGTGGTTGTTGTTTTCACGGGAGAGGAGGGAGCGACTGGAGGAAATGAAGGTGTTAGTGCTAAGGCAGCGGATGGCATCCAAACATCCCTGACACCCTCGAAGAACGTCCCAGCTTGCCCCTAAGGTAACAGTTCTCAAGCTTTAGTGTGTGTTAGAATCACGTGGAATGCTGGGTAGAGGCACCCCCCCAGAGTTTCTGACTAGGTCTCGGGTGGGCCTCGAATGTGCATTTCTAACAAGCTCCTGGATGACAGCGGCACCGGCGCCGCTGGTCCTGGACGGTGCTCAGAACCGGGGCCCGGAAGTCAATGAACCGGTGCTCACGGCCACGGCTGACACGTCCCTCATCAGCAGGTCATGCTTCCAGATAGCTCTGTGCTACCAGGTCCAGGCATACCAATAAAGTCAACCCTAGCAGCTACAATACAAACCTGCCCTTCTCTCTCCAGCCCCTTCTCACTCTGGGGTAGGACTTGACCTCAAAGAGAGACTAAGGAACTGGTACAGAGGGTGGGAATGTCGGCCAAAGCCACCTAAGCTCATTCTTGCTGGGTCACCACGTTGGAGGGCAGGGGCTTGTCTGTGAGCACGCACGCACGTGTGCAAACAGAAATCAGTTCTACACGATGGGAGGGATGATTAGGGCTGCAGGAGGCTCAGGGAGGATGGGGGTTCCTCTAATCTGCCTTAGGATTCTCACCTGTGTTGTTCCTCCCTCCGCCCCTGTCAAACAAAAGTCAAAACAAAGCAGAAAGAACATATCAACAAAGGCATATGTAATACAGCTAGGAGCACTGGATTCTAAACAGACTGGTTATGAAATAAAAAATAATAATACATTTCCTTCCTGTGTATACAATGTACAGTATTAATGGAAAATAATGATTTGGGGGTGGGAAGGAAGTGATGAGGGGGTCTTGGGGAGAACTGTCTCAGGGTAGCACCTTTAAAGGAGCCTCTCCTTAGGAGTGGGAAGCAGGGGAGCCTCAGAAGCCAGAGGAGGGATTTTTTTGGTGTTTACTTTGTGGTTTGGGCTGTGGACAGGGTCTGGCTGTGGTTAAACACCCTGTCCTCTGAGGTGGGGGGTGCTGGAGGGCAGTGAATCAGGAAAGGGACCGAGAACAGGACGGGCGCAGGAAGGCAGCCAAGGTGAGGTTCAGTGAGGCCACCTCCTCTCCCACCACCACTGAGCGCATATGGTCTAGAGCCTGGGGGCAAGAGCGAGCGGAGGCCGAAGGAAGGTTGTATCTGGGACGTAGAACCAATGGGGAAGGGGTAAGTGAAAGAGGTTCTTTTCTTTCTAGGCTTCCCTCATCAGGGGTGGGGGTGGGGGTGTCTCACTTTTCAAGATTAAGCAAGCTGTCTTAAGGGAGGGCGGCCATGAGACCAGAGGACCTGGTTCTAGGCCTTGTGTCTATGGCTTGGGTATTCAGCAGCTGTCTTTGGGGTGAGGTGGGAGGCCTGAGTTCTGCCTGCGTTCACTTGAAGAGTCTGAAGACTCCACACTACCAACTACTTTCAGAAGGTGCCTTCTCTTAGGGTCCTAGAAAGGCCAGGATCCTTCGGAAGGGCCGAGTGACCCTCTGTGATGCTGGTTCTGGTCCAGTCAGGTCTGGAAGGCAACGAGCAGGGGAAAGCAGCCACATGGCTGGCAGCAGTAGCAAGGTAAGCGATGTTACCTTGACTGTCAGCAAGGTCTCAGGGTAAGTAACCGCGAGGCCTTCTTTGGGAGACGCGGGACAAAGCAGAGAGCTGCCTGGGGGGGTTGACCTGCCCTTTCCTCGTTTCATTGCTCCTTTACTAGTAAGGCTCTGGGAGTGTTCCTCATGCAGGTCCTTAATACGAACTTCCCAGTGACGGAAACAAGGACTCAAGAGAATCAAGACAAAAGGCCAGGAAATGACATAAGCCCCTCTACGAAAATGAGTTGCTCTACACAGGGGCCGCTGGTGCACTCACACTCCCTCCAACGCCGAGCAGTGGGGCAAGGCCAGTGTGCAGGGGTGAAACATCTGCCTGAAGGGGAAGGGAAATAGTCAAGGGTCTTATGAAGGCTCCTCGGGAGTCATAAACTCAGTCAGGCTTCAGGGCACGGCTGCTAGTAGGACATCAAGATAATAAAAAAAAGAAACAAAAAGCAGGAGAAAATCCCAGGGAGTGACTGTCTAAAGGCAAAGTCCTGAGAACAAGTTATGGCTGTGAGAAAACAATTTTTTTGGCTGTGACTTTTTAAAGGCAAGTGGAGTCCCTGGGGGAGGTGACCTGCATCCTGGCCATCTGCCGTGCCATTTGCGTGTCTGAGTCACCTCATGGGCTGTTCTCATTGGGTCCTGGGCAGAGAGGATGAGAAAACGAGGTTTTCTTTCTCTTCACCAGGTGTGGTTATTCAGCATTGGCTCTGAAAGGCAGGAGAGGAGACAAATAAAGGCAGGACCTCCCGGGGCTCCACACGTGGTCATGGCGTGCCTCCTCTGTGCCCACTGGGTCTGCCCTTCTGAGAGGCTCCGCTGCAGGCAGCAAGGAGCAAGGTGTGCAAGGCGGGACTCAGGGCTGTTACAAAGCAGGAGCCAGCTCTGCCAAGGGCAAATGGCAAGTAAACCCCAGAGCAGTTTGATGTCACCAGAGGAAAAGGAAGGGGACCGCCTCTCAGTGGGGTCTACCTGATGGCAAGGGGCCGGGTGCTGGGCTATGCGCGCTGGGACAGCGCCCCTCAATGCTGAGAACTACTGCTTCGGACTGGATGCTTCATGTGCTGAGGCTCCCGGGACAGCGGGCGCTGATAAAAGTAAACCAGGGGTCCTGAGGCGTGTGGAGTCCTCACTAGGACGGGCTCATGCAGAGGCTGTCTGCAAGCGTGTAGAGCCCACCTGGGCCACGTGTTTCCTGCTGGACCTGGGCCTGCTGCTCAGGGATTCTGCGTCCACAACTTGGCACTGGAGTTCAAGCCAAGGAAACACTGACTCTCTCCAGAGGCCCCTTCCCTTGCCTCTCCTTCATTTACACCCGCAGTTTTCATAATTCATAGGAGTGACTTGTGTTATTTACTACCAGACAAGGCAACGTTTGCTGCTGGCACCGAGTCACAAGTTCCCTAATTTATTACCTGGAATCAACCTTGATTCTCACTTTAAGTGTGGAATTTCACAACATGACAGAGCCATTTCCATCAAACTGACTTCTGCCGACTTTGGGGCCAGAGGGCATGACTGTTTTGGGGACATTAGGAGGATGACGGACTATAAGTCAGAAAATCCTGACAAAACTATGCTAAACTTCCACGGCTGAGGGATGAAGTGGAAAGAGGAAGGGAAGCGGGAACTGAGCAGCAGCAACCCCAGCGCGGAAGGCGGCACCAGGCGCAGGGCTGGGAAGAGGGTGCTGTGCAGGCACTGACGGTGATGGACGGCAGGCGTGACGTTTTCCCCTAAATTTTAGAATGCATTGAAGATTCTAGTTCCAACCTTTTTACGCATAAATAAGTTCCAATAGGAGTCTGTTAAATTTCAGTGATAATAAATAAAAGTGGTTATGAAATTAAACTTTAAAATGTTCAGATAAAATATTTACCAAAAAAAAAAAAAAAGCAGTAGAACACGTCGTTTGACTGGCCCACCAGCACGTGGCTCTGAGGAGACGGGAGTCTTGGAGCTTAGAACACTTCCCATTCCTCTGTGACAATATTTGAGAAGAAAAAAATAAGCAAGCAAACTGGCAGTTATTTTGTATGTATGTTTAGGAGAGATGAGAAGGGACATTTTTGGTTTGGACAGATGGCAGAAGGTGGCTCTGGGACAACTGGAAGGGTTTCATACTGGAGGGCTATTAAAGCTGACCTGTCTATCCACAGGCCTCTGGCTTTGGCTTGCTTCCTATGGCCCTGACAGGAACTGCATAGTTCAGAGTCAAAGGAAGATGATCTTGACGGGGGAGAAAGAGGGACAAGAGGGATGAACTTCTCCTGCAACCCAGCTTTTGAATGAATGGCTAAAAGCAACAGTCCCCAGTGTCCCGGGCGGGTCAGACCCTTCACTGAGCAGGCTCTTCTGCTGAGATCAGTTACTGCACCCTTCTCTCCCCAACTCAACCCAACACTCAAGAAACCTACTCAGGACCTTGCTGTGAGGTGTCACAGTCCTGGCGCCTGGACTACAAGGAGCAATGCATCGATGGGGAAGAGCAGAGAGACCAAGTGGCCAGACTGGGGGCACTTGTGAATATAAGCTCGTAGCTCAGAAAAGGACAGAAGGATGAGGTGAAGCGGTGGGGAGCAACAGTCCCCACATGACAGCCTGTAGGAGGGCTGCATCTGAATGAGTTACAGAAAGAGACAGAGGCAGTAACAGGGACAGAGGGATGGGGAGGGAGACAGGGGTGGTTGCCCGGTAAACTTGGAAAACCTAAAAGAATCAATCCAGTAACCTGAGGGAACGCGCTTAAACCACACTTCTTGCTTGCCCCGACAGGGAGAACTGAGGGACACAGCAGGGGATGGGGAAGGAATCAGCCAGACCTGGCCTCCTCCCCTCTCACGACCAAGCAGTGTCTAATAAGGCCACAAGATGAGGCTGCAAAGGCCGTGGGAGGAGGGAGAGATCCCATCCCCGGACTGGAAAAATACAAGAGACAAATGAAGTACACAGAGAGCTCTGGAAGTAACAGCAAGAACTCTAAACTCTGGGGTTTTGTTTCTTTTTGTCATTTTTGTTTCGGTGGCAGGCAGGGAGAAGGGCGATGGAGGAGGTGGAGACACTGCGACTTCATATGTAACCGCGCATCTCTGCCAAGTGAGTGTGTCAACTAGGATAAGCAGTTACCGGGAGACAAAGTCCTGAGTTCATGGGGTGACTGGGGATGGGTCAGCGGTGATAGACCATCAACTCTAGCCTCCTTCTAGCTAGCAGGAAGTGGCATGCTGGTAAGAAACAAGAAGGCAATAGCCACGGCTTAGTGAGCAGAGAGGGCACGGAGAAACCCAAAGCTCAGAAGTGCAGGGTTAGTGTTAAAAGAGACAGGAACACGTGCACGGGTAGGGGTGATTGTTCAGACCATCTGGAAAGCCCTTTGGCTGTGGGTATATTAGAACCCCCACCTTGGGGGATGTTCTATGTGGCTCTGGGGCTGGGAGGCTCCTAGTACAGATGTCAACACACATGTCCTGAGGCTGAAAAGCCTCACATCTGTCCATTACTCACAACACACACATTTCTCCCCATGTTGCCATGTCCAAGGCAGACGGAAGGGGATTAGATGACATCTTTCTCGGCTCCCGGAGGGCGAGCGCTGGCTGGGGACCTCTCCACCAGGGGAGGCATCATCTGCCCGCAGACTGGGACTGTGGGGTCATGATCACATGCGACTGTATTGGCATGCTCAGTTCTGTCCTTTGGCTGGCCATCTGTGTGAGGACTGAAGTGGCCACAGCTTCAGCTGCAGAGCGGACGCTGAGGCCATTGCTAGGGGCTGTTGCTGAGCTGTGCTGAATCACAGGGGCTGGAGAACCCGTCGGCTCTGAGCTTTCCTTGGGGCTTTCTGCCAGGAGGGAGGGCAAAGAGCAGAGAACAAGTGGTTAGAAAACAGAATGGGGAAATAATTCTAAAGGAGCCCAAAATATAATGAAGCCCATTTTTCTTGGGGGGGGGAGGGTGTAAATCGCCCATTTTCTTGGCTTCTAAGTTATGAATGGGCTAGGAAATGGAAATTAGGAGAAGGGAGGCAAGAAATAGGCCCAAATTAATCCATCTATCCCAATAAAGCAAATCTCCAACATGTTAATTACACTGTCTGGCTTCTAGGTCTTTGTAGTTCATTATCCCTATTGGAACACTCTTCTTGTTCATGTATTTAAAAGTGATTTAAATGGATTTTTTTTTAGCTATCCTCTGTGTAACTGTCACAAGAATTGAATCATTACATTATTTTTAATGTTCCTTTAGTATGTAGTTATACCACAGGTAAGCTTGATAAACACCAAGGTACATTCCCACAATGTTATAAATGACCAGTCCTTGGTCAAGGTTCGCTTAACATGACAAACTATAAAAGAGGTCTGTTAGGCCTCCTGACTATCAATTAGGTGGGCGTTAATGATTTAAGGCATTTTTTATGAGCTATATCTCTCCACTGAAAGTGACAATAACATTTTACTGCTGGACACAAATATCTAATCAGTCAAGGAATCTTATTAAACATCGGACAGACTCTATGCCTGTTTAAACAGAGATGTGTGGAACAAGGGCCTAGTTTTTCAGGATTCAATTATCACCTCCTCTGTGAAGCCCTGTCATTCTCAGAAAGTAATTTTCATTGTTTGTGCTTTCAGAGCACATGTTCATTTATTCATTAAACATGTGCCCGCCCTGAGCTACAGAAAGGGCAACATGGGAGCCTTGTCCTCAGGAAGCTGCCAGTCCAGGGGTGATTGTGCTTATCTCGCTTACGGTTTGACATGTTTATCTTCTCATAATGCTCCAAGTCTCTCAGCGGTAGGGACAATGTCTCATTGTCTTGTGTCAAGTGCCTACCCTGATGTCTACACTACACAGCAGGAATTAAACATTTCTTTGCTGTAACAAATAAGTCGCTTAATGGATTGATTAGTCTGCCAGAGTTCTTAGAGGGGTGAGTATAAAACTCACCTGTATATAGACCATACTGATGAACAGTCCTGGTCTCCACGAGCCCTTCAAGAGGAGCCCATCGAAAGGATTTGAAAGTTCAGTCATCACAAAACTTCCTGAGACACTTTCTTAACTTGGTTTACAGAACACTTAACTGCTCAGTGGGTTTTCTTCCTACCTTCCTGACTGCTTATTCTCAATCTCTTTCGTAGGTTCCTTCTCATCCCTCTGACCTCTAAATGTTGACGTACCTTAGGGCTCAGTCCCAGAACCTCTCTTTTTCCATCTCTGTGCTGTCCCTTGAAAATGACATTTCATCCACTTACACGGCTTTGAAAACTAATGACATGCATTAGCTCCCTAAGTTGCACCCTCAGACTTTCCTCTGAACTGTGGACCCACATAACCAGTCACCTGCGCAGCATCTTCATCTGCAAAGCTAACAGGAATCTGTCCAAAACTGAGCTTCCAATAACCTCCCAACCATTTTCTCCTGCATTGTCCCATATTTCAATGAGTGATACCTCCTTGCAGTTGCACAGTCCAAAAATACCAGGGCATTTTTTTCTTCTTCTTTTTCTCATATATAACACCCCATCTGGCCTGTCATTAAACTCTGTCACTCTGAAGAAAAAAATGTATCTGAATGTAACCCCTTCTCACCACTTTTACTCCCACCCTCCTGGTCCAAGGTTTTCCTGTCTCTTGCTTGTACTGTTGCAACAGCCTCACCAAGTGGACTGCTTGCTTCTGCTTGTGCACGCCTGCACTCTCTAAAAAGGGCTCCTGTTCAATTTTAAGCCAGATCAGTCATGTCACTGCTCTGCTGAGCTCTCTAATGGTCCCCAGCATAGCGTAAAAGCTGAGGACCTCTCTGTCACTAACGAGAAACTACATGATGTACTCCCACTTTCTCCCCTACCTAATCTCCAATGACTCTCCACCCTGCTTTCTCTCCAATCCAGTCACACCAGTCTCTCTGATGTTCTAGAATGTGCCAGGCACACTCCTACTTTGAGTCTTTGCAGTTGCTGTTCCTTCAACTTGCAGAATTTTTCTCCCTTGTAAATGCATGGCTAATTCCCTCACTTCCATTAGCTCTTTATTCAAAGGCCACCAGAGCAAAAATTTCAACCTTGCTGTCAACATTTCATATTGCTCTTCCCTGTTTTATTTTTCATTCCAAACATTTACTATTATCTAATATACCAGATATTGTACCTATTTATCTGGTTTTATTGTCTATCTCACCTACTTAAATAGCCCTCTGTAAGAGACAGCCCTCAAGGGGAGGGATTTTAATCTAATCTATTTGGTTCCTTATTATATTTCAGTATGTAAAACAGTACCTGGTACTGAACAGGCTCAATCAGAATCTCCTTAATGAATGAATGTTCCCTGAGCTATATATTAAAGTTAAAAATTTAAAGAGAGATGTTTAAAATTGGTGATACGGTTATTCTCTTCCTATGGGAAAACATCTCTGAAATGATAGTGCAAATAATTCAGTTGATCAAAATGAATTTATTTTAATTTGTAAGGGAAAAATTATTTATTAGCTTCTACTGTCCATAAACAAATGGTTCACAGTATTAACTGCAGGACTGTGCTTATACTGAGCTGACTCTGTGGCCATCTCTAACGCTATTTAGTGTGAGCTCGTGGGATGTGAATCTTGGCTCTACCGCTTTCCCAGATGTGTGATAAGTGACTGAGAGCAGTTTTGTCACGGAGGGAATATCTATTTCACTAGAGAATTATGAAGATGGTGGAAAGGCACCCAGTAAATATTGTTACCCTTTATCTCCAACTATGATAGACAATTAGGATAACTGTTGTTCTCAAAAAATCTCTTTTGTTGGGCCTCCCTGGTGATGCAGGGGTTAAAGACACAGCGCTGTCAAGCTATCACCAGCTGCTGCAGCATGAGTTTGATCCCTGGCCCAGAAGACCTCTCTTGTCTTATTCGCTGCTCCTCTCAGCAGTGTATTTCAGTAGATCTGCCTGTTCTGCTCCCCACTGTATCTCTGGTGAATCCTCTCACTCCCCCGCACCTCTGGCCCACATCCCAGTTCTTGTATGCATAAATAAATAAATCTTTAAAAAAAAAATCTTTAAAAAACAAGCTGTTTTCTTGGTAGGACTGGCTACTTCACAAAGGCTACTCACTTAGCAGTCTAGAGCTCCCCAGAACATTCAGATTGGGGTTATAGGACACAAAAGTACAACGCAATAACTGACTGACCTTGCTTAGGTTATGAGTCACTCACCTAAGTAGCCTTGGGTCTTTTTCTGTAGTGCAGTAACTGGGCAGTCTTTATGAGCTAACAAAAGCTGTTTCAACTGAGCCACCTCATTGCGTAGTAACGTGACTTCATTCTGAGGAGGGAGGGAAGAAAAGAGTATCAAGAAAATGTATCCTCTGTTCTTAGACCCCCAGTGGCTGTCTCCAGAGTGAGGACAGAATACTGCCTGGACTTTCTCCACTGAATATGGGAAAGACTCCTGATCCAGCAGGTTCTGGATAGGGCTAGTAGAGTCATGAATTCAATGACAGGTGCTGCTTAAAGTGAAAAAACAGGGATTTGAAATAGAAAATGACTCTTATTTAGGATAACTATGATCATACTAAAATTAATAATGCATAGGTCCTTTACCTAAAAAAGCCTACTCACTGGAATCTGCTAAACAGAACTATGTACTCACATGCATACAATGCTCACTGTACCTTTCTGTTCTTCTAGCAAAAACTTAGAAACCTTATACATATCCATACTTTACAATGTAATTACTCCATAGAATGTACTACTAAGCTATTTAAAATGAGTATATGTCTGTGTATGTATATATACTCATGTATTGTCTTTATAATGAAATATACTAATAAATAATCAGGGGAGAAAATAATGTTCAATAAGCTATCTGGAGTATCACTGTTCTGTGCTTGCATGGTATTATCTTTATTATGAGCAAATACATTTTCCTTTGGGTGATTCCATGACCCCAGTCAGATTCTACTGATGACTTAAAGCAAGCACCCTGGGATGCTTAATCTAATTCTCTTCATGCAAACGAGCCTATGGGTGACACATTCTAGCAGCAGATTCTAGGAGCAGATGACAGCTTTCCTAATGTGTGGGGAGAGAGTTTAACCTTGCTAACAGATTCCGACTGCATTCTTCCTGGGACATCTGGGTCTTTCCCAGTTTAAAGCATTACCTATCTTCTATTGTCTCACTATTTTTGATTCAATCAAACTCTTCAGACTGAGCAATCCTAATAATCACCCACAACCCACTCACACTCAGCTGAATGTTTTGAGATGTGAGTTCCTCTGCCTTTTTCTCTAGGGAGGACACCCATAGCTTCCGCTTTTGCCGGCAGCGGGAGGCTGCAGCCCGGTTACGCTCCAGGAAGCGCTGGCGCCGCTCATCTGGATCTTCATCCACAGTGCGCCGCCTTCGGCCTCCAGTACTAGGAGTGGGCTGGGCTGGTGAGACCTGTTGCCCAGGGAGGAAGAAATTACTTGATGGGAATGTCAATGCTTGCCAAGTTAACCTGACATTAGGCAGGGCCTCCCCGGTGGCGCAGCGGTTGAGTGCTGGGTTGAGAAGCTGCCCGCGGCCTCTAAGGCGCCGGTTCGATCCCTGGCTGCTCCCCGGCCCCTGGAGGAGGGTCCCGCATGGCGCGCAGACCTCTCCTGCCACCCGCTGCTCCCCTCAGCAGTGTACTTCGGTCCTTCTGCCTGCTCTGCTCCCCGCTCTGGCTCTGGTGAATTCTCTCACCCTCCCGCGCCTCTGACTGTACCCAGTGCATGTATAAACAAAACAAACAAACAAATAAATAAAACATGCCTCTATAAAAAAAAAAAAAAAAAAAAAAAAAAAAAAAACACCTGACATTAGGCAGATGAGTAAGATCTGGTAAAGTGATGTACCAGTCTCTGCTAACCACAGTGAGTCACTATGGCCCCCAGCTGCTCTCTGTGGCAGTTCCTCTTTTTGCCTCCCATTTCTCTCCAGTCTTCTCAGTCCCATATTTAGACAAATCACAATTCAGTTGGAAACTGATTATTTCTGAGGCAGACAGACGAAATGAAACTAGCATCACTTTTTGTTTCTTAACAATAAGGACTCTTTTAGTCAGGGAAATCTAGCGGGGGGGAGGATTTCAGGGGAACTTTTAGGGAGACTGGAATAAAAAAGGTTAAGGAGGGCCTCCTCTGTGGCCCAGCGGGTTGAGCGTTGCACTGTGAAGCTGTCTGCAGCCTCTGCAGTGTGGGTTTGATTCCTGGCTGGCCAGGGAGAAACCCACATGGCATAGCAGATCTCCCCTGTCTCACCCGCTGCTCCCCTCAGCAGTTTCTTTGGTCTGTCTGCCTGTTCTGCTCCCCGCTCTGTCTCTGGTGAATCCTCTCACTCTCTGGTGCCTCTGACCTGTATCCCAGTTTTTGTATAAAAATAAATAAATCTTTAAAAAATAAAAGGTTAATGATCATGGATTGCAGAAGCAAAACTACAAACAACTGCATGCTATATACAAGTTTCAGAAAGAGAAAACATGTTTCTATTCATTTTACTGCCAGTGAGATATAGTATATTCTCTTTTATTTATAATCAGTTATTAATCATCATCATCAAGTCATTGCCTTGTTTGTTCTGTTGTTTTTTCTTTTTTTTTTAATATTTTAGAGTTTGTATTTTTTTATTTTATTTATTTATTTATTGATACAAGCACTGGGTACAGTCAGAAGCGCGGGAGGGTGAGAGAATTCACCAGAGCCAGAGCGGGGAGCAGAGCAGGCAGAAGGACCGAAGTACACTGCTGAGGGGAGCAGGGGGCAGCAGGAGAGGTCTGCGCACCATGTGGAACCCTCCTCCGGTGGCCGGGGAGCAGCCGGGGATCGAGCCGGCACTGCAGAGGCTGCGGGCAGCTTCGCAACCCAGCGCTCAACCACTGCGCCACCGGGGAGGCCCTGTTGTTGTTTTTTTTTTTTTTTTTTAGAAGATTTATTTTATTTATACAAGTGCTGGAGTATTGGCCAGATGCGTGGGAAGGTGAGAGGATTCACCAGAGACAGAGCGGGGAACAGAACAGGCAGACTGACAAAATACACTGCTGAGGGGAGCAGCGGGTGAGACAGGAAAGGTCTGCCATGCCATGTGGGATTCTTGCTGGCAGGCTGGGATCAAACCACCGCTGCAGAGGCTGCGAACAGCTTCACAGTGCGGCATTCAACTGCCTGCGCCACCAGGGAGGCCCCCATTTGTTTTTGAACAAAAAAAATTTTTAAGTTCCCTTACATATTGGTGATACAGAACTATCTTTTGTTTTTAAATTTCAGGCTCATGTCCCTTGTCACTACAGCGCTTTTGGGTTACTTTCCGTTTCTGTTAGCTGGCATTGTGTTCAGAGAAGATCAATTTTATAATAAAGGCCAAAATTAAAATCTAGAAAGGTCAATCATCTGTAGGAAAGAAGCTATATAACATAAAACAATGCCAAAAATAAACTCTTCTTGGACCTGTTGTTAGCAGAGAATATTTACATTAGTAAGGTCCCTAATGCCAGAGCTTACATCAGTTGCGTGAGAAGAAGCACAGCTTATGAAAAAGAAATCCTATCATATGCTACTTCAGGTCCTATTGAATCATGTTCTCCATTAATATAGGTAATCAGGAGAAAATTTTATTTATTCAAACTAACATTATCTCTCCCAAAAGAAACAAAATAGAGGAAATTTCAAACTCAATTTAATGAGCTAGAGGCCTTGGGTCATAGCATCTCATTGGACATTTACACTAATTTTCTTGAGATTTTCGATTTCCTCTTTGTCCTGACTCACTGGAGCACACATGAAGACTGGTGCTTTAGAGGAAGGAGGAGGAAAGGGAAGAACAGGTTCTTATTTGCTTATAGGCAACTCAGTAACACATGCAGGGAAAGGAGGTGAAAGAACAGTCAAGAGGGAGTGAAAGTGCCACAACCTGGGGATGGGGATGACTGTTTAACCTCAGGAGACTGCACAGGAAGGGGTTACAGAGGGTGCACAGGCTTAGCTTCCAACAAGAAAGCTCAAAGGGTGCTTTATTGTTGGGCACATGGTAAGCCAGCATAAGGCCACTGAAGGTGGTGTGTGGTAACTGCCAGAGGAGGTGGTGACATCAGGAGTCAGGAAAAGGGGCTGGGCAAAGGATGCTGCTCTGGAAACCAATCTCACGTTGTCAACTCTCCAGTATGATAAGAAAGTGAGGTCCATTCAGTTTTCAAAAAAACTTATTAAAACTGAAGCTGAGGCCTCCTTGAGATAAGAATTGGGCATTTAATAGGACCCTTTGGTTTTTCTAAGACTTTAATTTCTCTGTGATAAAAGGGATTAAGCTGATAAGGGAAAGGTGTTTTTCTTAACACTCGTCTAGTGAGCCATCTTATTATTTATTTATTATTTTTTAAAAAAACTTATTTATTTATGCACACAAGAGCTGGAGTATAGACCAGAGATGCAAGGGGCAAGAGCATTCACCAGAGACAGAGTGGGGAGCAGAACAGATGGGGTGACTGAAATAACACTGCTGAGGAGAGCAGCGGGCAACACAGGTCCGCTGCACCATGTGGGCCAGCTCCCTGGCTGGGGATTGAACTCAGGCAGTAATGATGACAGCACTGAGACTTACTTCCTAGGCCACCAGGGAGACTTAACCCCTAGGCCCTAGTGAGTCATCTTAATACTGTGATATCACATTTTGTTAATATTTGTTATTATGGGATTTCTGCTATAAAATCTAGTAAGGCAAGCTTTTTTTGGTTTTGTGAAATGTAACAGATGGGAAGACTTCTAGGGGAGCTTCCTTTGTGTGGTGTACAATGTGGTCACATTTTGGAGGATTGTTCAGATACATCATTCACATATTGAAACAAACAAAAAAACCTGAAACTTCCTCTGTGACAGTTCTGCATCACCCAGTTTCTGTTGTACATGGGTATAACGCAAGGGAGAAAGAAGAATGATGCCTTTTCCCACTGTCAAGCTGCCAAGGAGAACCAAAGCACAGGCAGATACCCAAGAAAGCTGAAACATCCATTCTTCTCTCATTTTTCTGTTCCTTGAAAACAGATACAGCTAGATCCCCCATCCAAGGGGGCCACTGACCTGTGGCTGGGCAGGGGATGGGGCATCAGGGTGTTGGATGAGGATCTGACTCTGCTCTGGACGGGCTGTCACCATGGTGCTGGCAGTACCTACCACCATTCCACAACCACCATTCACTGAGGAGACTTGTTGGGTTAGGGTGGCTTTCAGTCTCTGTGGGGGAAAGATAATAAAAAAACAGTCTTTCAAGGGTGAGAAGTAAGGCCTTACCGACCTAACAGCTGAAATCTCCAGATCCATTTTCTCTTAACAGAGAAATTAAAAGAAAATGGCAGGGAGAGAGAATGTGCACCTGGATCTCCAAAATGCCTACTCTGTTCCCTGGCTATCATCCTGGACACAGTTGGAGGGTGGGGGCTTGAAGCACTAGAGTCCAGATGAGAGCGCGCTCCTGGAACCTGGCCAGAAGCTGGTTACACAGCTATTCACCTCTTGGCCAGCTCTCCTGCCCACTCATCCTCTCTCCATCTGTCGCCCTGGAACTGAAACAGCAAGTGTTCTACACCAAACAATCTGTGCTGCCTCTTTTTACGGTCACAGTCTATTTACCGGGTTTTAAAGGTGGAAGAGAGGAGATACGAGTCATGAATCAGTCTTTTCTTCTCCAGACCCCATGACAGGGTGTCTTTAGCTTTGCAAGCCCCAGACAGTTTCTTTGCTTAACTCATTCAATAAACCCAGATTGATACCACTTCTTTTAGGAGGGCCTACATTGCCTCAGGCTGGGATGTACTCACCATTTTGGCTTCTGATGGCATAGGGTGGCCAGAGGGAGAAATGGAGCCACTGCTGTTAACTGGTGGACCAGGGATACCAGGAATGTTGGGTACCATAGACACAGGTCTGGCCAGCTGGAGCAAGGAAAAAAAAAAAACCAGAGGGAACATAATACTATTGGTGGGACAACAGCTTTCCAAAATTAAGTGCTTTCAACATTGGCCTGTTCTGTGCAACCTGCCCAGAGGGCACGCAGGGACAGTCTGGGAAATACTTCCTCCCATGGAGCACCACAGAGTCCTTCAGTGCTGTGATAATTCCTGCGGTAAAGGCTGGGGCTGTATCTTAAAGTGGTGGACAATTTGAAAGGTACTAGGTGCCAAGTGAAAGCAACCAATCAGCAAGCTGGCAAGATCAATTCCTGACCAGGAGCCAACTGTCCAGATGAGTCTTTGTCTAGCGTTCCGTAGTGCTGGACTGGCAGAGGTTTGAGAAGAGTTTGGGCAGACAGCCATGCTCAACTAATACAGACCAGAGTCCACATTTCCCTGGGGCTCATGTGTGCTTATGAGCATTCAGGTGGAAGGGAGGGATTAGTGTGTTGGTAGGGTTGGCTGCCCCAACTACAGAGCTCACCGATATAACAGAAGGCATCTGTACCGGAGGCCCTGTCAGCACAGGCATGGTCTGTCCATTAGCAAGATGCATGACGAGAGGGAGGGAGCCAGTGGGAGACCTAGAGGAGACATGAAGTAAAATGTTCATAATTCAGATCCTTCTGCCCATGGAACTTTCTCCTATAAATTACAGATTTTCCAGTCTTCTCCAGAAAAGTTACAGGACACCCTCAAGGGAATTTTGACACCCTCATGAAAGTGAAAAAAGTAAGGAACCCTACCTTACGGATGAGAGAAATGGCAAGATTTTTACACCTTGTAAATTAAGCAAATATCACTGAACTCAAATGGGTAGGAATTAATCCTATTAAAAGTTTAGAATAAGGTCTCCCTGGTGGAGCAAGGGGTTAAGTCCCAGCGCTATCAAGCTATCATTAGCCACTGTGACACGAGTTCAATCCCTGGCCAGAGAACTGACCCACATGGCACACTAGACCTCTCCTGCCTCGCCTGCTGCTCCCCTCAGCAGTGTATTTCAGTACATCTGCCTGTTCTGCTCCCCACTCTGTCTCTGGTGAATTCTCTCACCCCCCATGCCTCTGGCCTATAGCCCAGTTCTTATATGCATAAATAAATAAAAATAAATCTTAAAAAAAAAGTTTAGGACAATTAAATAAACATCCCTACCACTAGCATATATAAATTCTGTCATGCCTTATGCAAGAGAGACTTGGACCATATTGAATCAGTCTTTGCAAAGCTGAATTATGTCATATGATAGTCAAGTTCGAGTAAGTTTCTCCTGTTCCTTTCCATGTTTTGCTCTACTCTGCCTGAAAAAGAAGTTGTGCCTTTGCATTTTTCCTAGTGGATCCAGAAAACAGCAAGTTTTAAGAGACTGAATGCTACAACAAACTCTTAACCCAAAGATATCTGGGGAGATTTCAAGTCACCCCTTTAGGAACTCTGTGTGGGCCATGCTAGGAGTGAAGACAAATAAAATTAGGAGTAGCAAAGACCAAGAACCCCAACTGGGGCTGAGAGGAACACCTCATTCAAAACAGATGACTTAATGAATGGGTTCAGCCCCTCATTCAGTAGTACCCAATAAAATTCTATGTGATATGGCCAAGAACTAAAAAATACACACCCCTAGGTGGCCTCCACATTATGATGAACTTCCTAAAGTTTTAGGGAATCTTATTTTATTATTATTTTTTAAAGATTTATTTATTCATGCATACAAAAACTGGGTTACAGGCCAGAGGCACAGGAGGGTGAAAGAATTCACCAGAGACAGAGTGGGGAACAGAACAGGTAGACTGACTGAAATACACTGCTGAGGGGAGCAGCGGGCGAGACAGGAGAGGTCTGCCACGCCATGTGGGATTCTCACCGGCCAGCCTGGATTGAACCCGCGCTGCAGAGGCTGTGGACAGCTTCACAGCGCTGCGCTCTGTGCCGCCTGTGCCACCAGGGGAGGCCCGAATCTTACTTTAGGTTAAAGAAGTATTAAACTTCCAAATTAAGAAAGTATACCCCCAAATAAATACTTGTTTTGTCTACTAAACAGGTAAAGGGAGGATTTATTCTGAGAGACAATCTCAGTGACTCATTTTCCTCAAATATTCAAAAACAGCGCCTGTTTAATCATACAATTTCACAAAGAGGAAAAAATTCAGGCTTCACTGCTTCTTCCTGCTTTCTTTACTTACCCGAGTTGTCTGTTAGATGGTGGAGCCTGTGTGATGACGGAGGTTGGGGAGGGAAGGGTTGGGTGAAGTGGATCATAGCCCAAGTGGAGAGGCAGGGACCCGGGGCGGACGATGGTAGGCGTAGGGGTAGAGATCACAAGAGGCTTTGGGGCAACCTCCTGGGGAGAAGAGACCCACAGATTACAAAATGCTTTAAGAGGTTTCTTAGAGGGAAATACAAAGTGGATAAAGTCTAGTACAAATTTACTGGAAAGAGCATTCTGTAAATCATGACCTGATTCCATGGCTCATGGGCCCAAACCTCACTCACCCATTCAAGAGGGATGAGTGAAGATCTTTTGGCTATAGTCTTTCAGGGATGATGGCAGTAAGAATGCGATGACAGCTGGAAAAGTGCTTGAAATCTTTTTCAAAACTCTTTTACCATACAAATTCTAAGGATTGTTATAAGTGTTCACAATCTCGATACTCGCATCTTAAATTTGATGCCCAAGTGTCCTCTGATCTCTAGTGGGGAAAAGGAGGCAGAAGACTGGTGTTAAAGCAACCCAACATCTCCTAGATCCTTAAGAAAAGGGCTATGAAAGTTTGAATAATGACCCTACTGTAATAAGACCAACTGCTTTCCATGGTTAACTTGTTTGGATTTTAAACTGCCGGTGGCTACATTGGCCCCCAAAACATCTCCAAGACAGCCGTCTGGACCTGGTTGCTGATGAGAAGGTAAGGGGAAGGGAACAGTTGTAATGCCTGTGGAGGGGTCAGTTTTGGGAAGTCAGCAAATCAAATTTGGAAGGAGGTAGATGAGGTACAGATGCCCATTCCACAAAGGATAATAAAATGAATAAGCATTAGCAGAGCAGCAGACTGGAAGGAGGCAAGAGGGGGCTTCTGAGGTTCTGGCAATATCTTGGGTATGCCTACACTGGCTGTTAGTTAAAATTCAGCGAACTGTATACTTATAACTTATGTGCTTTTTTGTGTATATGCTGTATTTTGATAAAATTATGAAAAAAAAAGTAACACTTCATAGAAGGTTTCCTTGAACAATAATAATCAGAGTCCTAGTAGATATACCATATGAGTTACTAGAGACTTCCCTTGGGGAAGATTTTTAATTTCTAAATTGTTTAATGTCCAATTTATGTATTATGATTTTTTTCACTTAAATGAAGTACAACATACATAAAGTACATTCATATAAAGGATACAACTAAATGACTTTTTACATATATCAGTTATGAGAGAGTTCATTTCCAAGATCACAGGTTTCCCTGTGTCCCTTCCCAATCCTTATCTCCCCTCATAAGACATAACATTATTCTGAGTTTTAGTATTATCAAATAGTTTTTGCCCTTTTTGAATCTGATTTAAATGGAATCATAAAGTATGTAGGTTTGTGTACGAATTTTGTTGTGTTCAATAAGACATTTATGAGGTTTACCCACACTGCTGTGTGTAACATTAGTTCATTCTTCTTTCCACTTTAGAAATAAACCAGATATACTTACTCTCTGTTGGTGGACATCGGACTACTTCCAGTTTTTTGATTATTATCACTACACTACTATGAACACTCTTATATAATAGTTTTGGTGAACACATGCATTAAATTCTCTTCCTATAGATTTAGAAATAGAACTGCTGGGTTAGAAAATAGGCACAATTTATGTAAATCTTTCAAATAATTAACATTTGTTTCAGCATTCTCCTGTTCACATATTATTTATACAATGAATAAATCAAAACTTAACCTATCAATTAACACTTGACATGATTCTTGGTAGAGAATTTTACCTTCTCCTTGAGTGGTGGGGAGCAGGGGCTAGAGGCAGGGCTGTCAGGTGGGGATGAGTCTACCTCCACTGGCTCTTCCTCTTTGATTTTGATGTCTGGTGTGGACGGCAGAGACATGTCAAGGGGCCCAGCAGCAGCCTGTTCAAAGAGAAAGGAGTATAGTTCAACTCAGTGGTTCCTCTCAGGTGGAGTCTGTATCTTTCCAGTTACACGATGAGGGAATGTATTCTAAGAAGTTCAGATCTTGGTCAACATGCTGAACTGAAAATCAAAGCAATGTGGAGCCTAGCTTCTATGCACAACTCTGGCCAAATCATTTTAACTTGTCAGGACTTGTTTCCCTAACTATAAAATGGAGGTAACATCTGCTTTGCCATAAGTGAATATTTATAAAGACCCTGAAAGAAAAACAAAAATATGTCATTTAAACCCCTGTGAACATTATTATTGTATTCTTTCTCAGAAAAATAAACTGACTCCTGAATCTATTGCCTGTCTATTCCCAACCAGTTCTGCTGGCTACTAGGGAGCTGTAAATGCTTTTCCTGCTAACCAGAATGACTAGGTCACCCAATTATCAAAAGCAAACAAAGACAAATCAGCTATTAAAGCCCTGAAAACAAGACAGGAAGATCTTCTTTGGGGAACTCCCCATGCTTCATGGTGATCACACCCCAAATCTGGTGCTACAGTCTAGAGGTTAGAAAGACAGGGTTTTTTTTTGTTGTTGTTTTGTTTTTAATAGAGGCATGTTTTATTTATTTATTTGTTGGTTGGTTGGTTTGTTTATACATGCACTGGGTACAGTCAGAAGCGCGGGAGGGTGAGAGAATTCACCAGAGCCAGAGCGGGGAGCAGAGCAGGCAGAAGGACCGAGGTACACTGCTGAGGGGAGCAGCGGGCGGCAGGAGAGGTCTGCGCGCCACAACCTCTCCAGTGGCCGGGGAGCAGCCAGGGATCGAACTGGCGCCGCAGAGGCTGTGGGCAGCTTCGCAACCCAGCGCTCAACTGCTGTGCCACTGGGGAGGCCCCAGAAAGACAGGGTTTTCGGGCAACAAAGAAAGTAAAGGCTGATCATTTGATATCTGAAAGAAATTAGAACTTTGAGAAGCAGGACTAGAGACAACCAGTAAGGACAGAGATACTTTTCTGGCAATGATGCAATCACTTCACAGAACTGAGGAGGCATAAATGGCTTTGCAGGGAACATTAAACCATTGGAGATGGCGGCCCTGACGCTGCACCATGACAGGAGGGGCTGGCACTGCAGCTCGTTTCATGACAAGTAGGTCCTTTGTTCCCATACCCTTCTCATACCTTACGTTTTTTAATGAAAGAGGAAGTTTTTTCCCCGATTCTTCCCTTACTACCTTAATCCCTAGAAACCTTGGCATTAAGAAGAATGGAAACAATCTGGTGCTTACTACATTAGAGAAGGTATTAATGGTTTTTTCTCTCCATATGATTGGAGTGAACAACAGCAACAATGGTTTCATGTCTGCTCTCATGTTTTCTATATTGCTAAGATGTCAGGCCCAACTAAGCTCACTGTGGGATCCTTGGAGTCAGAGGATGGTGGGGAGGAAAGGTCTCTAAGTAAATACAACCGCAGGCTTAAAATGCCTAAGGGACATCTAGAAAAGCTGTGGTTCAGCAAAGTGTTAGGTTTATTAAACACTCCTGGAGACATTCCAGCGAATCTGTGCATCTCATCAAGTAGAGTAGAAGATCATCTCTGTTCAGAAGGAAGAGACCTAGGGATACCCACTGAATAAAGGTATGGCCAACTATGAATGGCCTTCAGAGGTGGCAAATAAGCTAAAATGGCAGTGGAAAAGACTTAACACTTTTAAAAGAAGGCTAATTTTCTTGAATTTGCCTATAATGAATTTGGCTTCAAATCTCTTATATTCTTGTGAAAACAATTTGACTGGTTTCTCTGATCTAGGGGGGACGAGATAGGGTAGCTATAAAATAAAATTATACCATGTAAGCTGAAGCAGCTAAGAGATGAAAGACCTGGGTCTCTGAAGAAAAAGAATGATGAGAAAACTATGGATAATTTTGCCATTTGTTAGAACCACAAATACATGCCACTGAGTTGGCTCACTTTATTTTAGTGTGAGAGATACAGCATTAAAAAGAAGGTAAGAGAAAGCTATGGAACTTGGAAAGACCTCCCCTGATGGCAATACTTTATCCTGCCCTCTTATCATTTATACTGGATGAAAAAACATGCACAATTGTCTTGATTCACCTGGATCTCCCTCTGAAAAGGAAAGAGCTCCCTGGAGATTTTTCCTTATAGCATGACTTTCCTATATTCTGGTGGGATTCATGCCTCTTTGCTCCAAATAATTAAAGAAGATCTGTGTGTTAAAGTGCATATGTTTTGAGAGAGAGAGACTGGAATTTTTCTGAATTATTAGGGAACACAGACCTGACTTTAAATAGTAGCTAATAACCCAGAATTCTAATTCTAAAATAAACTTTGACCTTTCTCATTTCCTTTTTACCCAAAACCCCTTGTTCTGTGGAAACTAGTTTTCTTTGACCCAGCTTCTTGAGTTTTCCCTTAGGTTTTCCAAACTAAAGAATTCTCTAGTAATCTGGAATATAAAGACAAAAATCAGAATCACAGCACCTCAGAATGTGAAGGGATTCCAACTTTCAATCTTCTCTACAATATCTATACTAAAGTGGCATACACATAATTGACCACTTTCTGACAGTTTCTACCTGTTGGTCACACTTTTACCTTTGGGAAACAGAATAACTTTAACTTTTACATCAAAGTTCCTCAAGTATTTGAAGACTGCAATTGCTTTCATACTAAACTTTCCCTTCCAAGCAAAACTTCAATTTCTTGAACTGTTCCTAAAGTAGCATAATTTCTAGTTCTTTCATCATCCTTCCTGATCTCCTTTGAAAGGCATTAATAACATCCTCTTCAAGTTAAATGTCTTGAATATTATTAGAAACTTACCTGAAAGTAAGAGCTACAAACAATGAAACAAAGATGAACTTCAGTGTTTTCTGATTCACTGACTGAATGAAAACAGTCCTGGTGGAAGTCTGAATAGCTCAGAAAAGAGTGGAATTTGGCAAAAATAAAATGTCCAAAAAGATATGAGTAATTTATAATATTTTAACACCTTCCACATAGCCAGAATAACAACATAAAGTATTACTGAACTAACACACTCCACTGGGAGGGAAATAAGACTGATTTTCAGTAAAGAGAGACTTGGGCTGATCCATCATCTGGAGACCTAAAATCCTGGGTGGCTAAGATTACAGAGCACAGCCTGATTCTGCAGTACCAAGTACACAGTCTTCTGCTCTAACCAATTAAGCAAGTTATCCCCAGGGCACAAAGAAAATGGCCTAGATCTGAATACCATCAACTTTTCAATCAAAGTCCCGCCTCTTGCCTTTTTTTCCTCTTCATCTGAAGCTTTCTTGAATTCATGTTCAAAGGAGCTAGCCAGTTCATTGAAGAGCCCCACTTCCTCACAGTTCTTCAGGAATCTAGTAGGAGTAGGAGTTTGATCTGTAGACATGAAAAGAAAACTCAATTTTAGTTTTGACCTGAAATTAATAAAACCTGAGAGTATATAAAAAACAAATCTTTATCTATTTGGAGAGAGAGTCTCTGAGTTAGGGCAAGTCTGCTCGTACAGAGGCTGATGCTAGGCCACCAGAGGGTGTCTGTGCTGTGTTGCCTCAAGGCCAGCAGAGGGAAGACAGAACAACGTTTTGTTGTGTGACTATCCACATAACCACCTTTTTCCCAGAGGTGGTTTCATAGCCCTCACCCCTAAACAAAACCAAACCACCCATGCAGGTGGTGTTTGGAGAACCTCCAGAACTGAAAATCAAGTACAGTTCAGTGACATCTTCCCTTTAAGTTTACTCCCTACTAGGTCTGAAGTAAGCAGGTATTAGCAGATGGATGTTAAAATCTGGTAAGAAAGTGAGAATCAGATGATTGAGCTTGCTTACTAACCCTTACATATGAGAAATAGAGGCCTTGTGTTTTAGTGGTCGCTGAGGTAAGGGTGTTACTTCTAAAGACATTTCAGGCAAATCTAGGGGCTGGAGAACAAGAAAGGAAGACCATGAGCTAGAAAAGGAAACTAAACAACAGACCTCATTTCACAGAGACCTGGGGTGAGAGCAAATTTCAGAAACCAGAATATTTGGATTTAGATCTGTCAGCCAAATTATCCTCTCATGGGCTGTGCAAACCTTTTCCCAACACAGTGCCTCTGCACTTGGGAAGAGAAAGGCTCTGGGTAATCCATGAACCATTTCGAGCAATATGAATTTTATTATTTATTTAAATTTAATTTTTGGACAATATATTGATATGATTTCTCCCCTCAGGTGTAACCACAGTCCTCCCACCACCAAAGAACCCTCAGTCCATCACCATGGTCGCTTATGCTCCTGCTCCCCTACTATCAACCTTTCTTACCCCCTACTCCTCCCCCTCCCCTCATGGATGCTTCTTATCTTTCAAGATTTGTCTTTGTCTCACCCTTTGTTTGGTTTCTCGTATTGCACACATAAGTGAAGCCATCTGATATTTATCTTTTTTCCTTCTGACTTATTTTGCTTAGCATTAACCCTTCCAGCTCCATCCATGTTGCCACAAATGGCATGAGTTTGTCTTTTTAGATCGCTGAACAGTATTCACAACATGAATTTTAGAACTGAGCTTCTCTCTTCCCATCCTGCTCTTCCAGGTTTCCTCTCTGGTTTTATTTTATTTTATTTTATTTTTTTTAAAGATTTATTTATTTATTTATTTATTTATACAAGCACTGGGTACAGTCAGAAGCACCGGAGGGTGAGAGAATTCACCAGAGCCAGAGGGGAGAGCAGAGCAGGCAGACGGACGAAGTACACTGCTGAGGGGAGCAGCGGGCGGCAGGAGAGGTCTGCACCATGTGGGACCCTCGCCTGGCAGCCGGGGATCGAACTGGCGCTGCAGAGGCTGCGGGCAGCTTCGCAGCCCAGCGCTCAACCGCTGCGCCACCAGGGGAGGCCCTCCTCTCTGGTTTTAGTTGGCACACCAGTCAGGCTAAGGGATTCATCGTGTAGCCCAAACCACTAGACTGAATGACAGAAACAGAATGATTTTTTTTTTAAAGATTTATTTATTTATTTACACAAGCACTGGGTACAGTCAGAAGCGCAGGAAGGTGAGAGAATTCACCAGAGCCAGAGCGGGGAACAGAACAGGCAGATGGATCGAAGTACACTGCTGAGGGGAGCAGCAGTAATGGCAGGAGAGGTCTGTGTGCCATGTGGGACCCTCGCCGGTGGCCGGGGATCGAACTGGCACTGCAGAGGCTGCGGGCAGCTTTGCAGCCCAGGGCTCAACCGCTGTGCCACTGGGGGGCGGGGGGCCATTGATACATTTTTTAAAAAGATTTATTTATTTATACAAGCACTGGGTACAGTCAGAAGCGCGGGAGGATGAGGTGTTTCACCAGAGCCATAGCAGGTAACAGAACAGGCACACTGACGAAATACACTGCTAAGGGGAGCAGCGGGCGGTAGGAAAGGTCTGCGTGCCATGTGGGATCCTCACCGGCGGCTGGGGATCGAACTGGGCTGCAGAGGCTGCAGGCAGCTTCGAAGCCCAGCGCTCAACTGCTGCACCACCGGGAGGCCCAGAAACAGAATGATATTTAAATGATATTTAAGGAGCGTGACCTGGGGTTAAAAGAGCACTTTTTAGTATGATCAACTGAGAATAGTCCAGTGGGACTTTCCATGGAAACAACATAATTTAAAAATATTTAAACAAAAACTCTTCTGAATCATAGTGTTTGGAAAAGTTACCATTACCTCCCAAAATAGTTTTAAAAGGTTCTTCAGCAGCTTTGGTTGGCCAGTGATAAAGCTACTTTTTCTCCATCCTTTGGAGAGTAGAGGTAATGTCACTCTTTCTGCTTAGAGTATTGCAGTCATGACACACACAAAAACATTACAACTTAAGTGGAACAACATAGAGCAGTTAAGGGCATGGCTATGACAAAAGAAGGTCTTCTGGGGTCCTCTCTGGTGGCGCAGGGGGTTAAGACGCAACCTATGAAGCTATCTACAGCCACTGCAGCACGAGTTCGATACCCCGGCCAGGGAGCTACCCACATGGCACAGCAAACCTCTCCTGACTCGCCCGCTGCTCCCCTCAGCAGTGTATTTCAGTCATTCAGCCTGTTCTGTTCCCCACTCTATCTCTGGTGAATCCTTTCACCAACACCCCCCCTCCCCCTGCCACCTCTGGCCTGTACTCCAGTTCTTGTATGCATAAATAAATAAATCTTTAAAAAAAAAAAAAAAAAGAGGGTCTTTTGGATCTCTGATCTAAGTTTCAAACAAAATTCTCCCATTCCTGAACAAATTGCTAAACTGCCTGAAAACATATACAGAAACCCTCAGTCTGTCCTGATGATTCTGTAAGAGTTAACGAATGTCTACTGAACACTTTCTATGTGTTTGGGTGCTACGTGCACAGACTTGTGTGTGCACACTTGGGGGAAGACTGGGATAAGAGTATAGGAGTTTTGCCCAACTATAAGCCCTGACAGTTGCCTGAGGGAATTAGGAGAATGTTTTCTAGCTGAGGAAATAAAATTAATATACATAGATAGTATCACAGTATACAGCTCCTGCCCCGCCCCCTGCCAAAAAATAAACCAACAAAAAACAGGTGCTATTATGTGTAGAGGATAAAATTGTGGTAGAAATTAAGACAAATTAATGACAGAGTTGTTAGGAAAGGTTTCAAGAAGTGGGACTTGAGTTGGTCTTTATCTGGGAGAGAGAAGACTTGGAGGATAAGAGCAGAAATGCAGGTGAAGACACAGAGAGAGACCAGGTATGGACTCTGTGTATTGATGAGGAGAAAAAGGTATGTCTAGGTTAAAAGATAATCACATTGGGCATATAAGTTGTTCATAGAGTTGAGTGTGACCATAGGACTAAGTTGTGGGAAGCTTGAAAATTCAAGTATAAATAGCCTTAAAGTAAGAATATTAGAAGCAGATGAGAATAATTTAAGGAAGACTTTATTTTCAATAAAGTGCAAGATGGGGGGCCTCCCTGGTGTCCCAAGGGGTTAAACACTGTACTATGAAGCAATCTGCAGCCTCTGCAGCACGAGTTCGATCCCCGGCCGGCCAGGGAGAAATCCACATGAAGAGGCAGACCTCTCCTGTCTCACCCACTGCTCCCCTTAGCAGTGTATTTCAGTAGATCTGCCTGTCCTGCTCCCCATTCTGTCTCTTGTGAATCCTCTCACCCTCCCCGCCCCAAATCTCTGGCCTGTACCCCAGTTGTTCTACACAATAGATAGATAGATAGAGACAGACAGACAGACAGACGGGCAGATAGATGGACAGACAGAAAGACAGATAGACAGACAGATTTGAATAAGAGAAACAGAGCCAAGTAAGTTTTCAGTAAGGGGCTGGAACACATGTGAGACAGGTCTTATTTCAGTGATAGGTAGGATACTGTAATTCAACCTAGACAGGACAGCTGAATTCCCAAGCAATGCAATGAGCATTCCAAAACAGAATGCAAAGAATAACAGGAAGACATTTTCTCTCCTGAAGACGGCCTTGTATTGATTTCTCATCACTCCCAGAGACTCAACATAAGCCTTTTCATCCATTTGGTATAATCTCTGCAACTTTAATAACCTAAGTATACCTCAGAATTTTCTCTGATTAATTCCATTTGATATTAATTTTGTTAATATGTATATTGTTTGTACTTAACTACAAATTTTCTCACATATATATGTCTTTTTTTTTTTAAAGATTTATTTATTTTTATACAAGAACTGGGGTACATGCTAGAGGTGCAGTAGGGTGAGAGGATTCACCAGAGACAGAGTGGGGAGCAGAATAGGCAGATGGACCGAAGTACACTGCTGAGGGGAGCAGCGGGTGAAACAGGAGAGGTGTGCCCCGCCATGTGGATATCTCCCTGGCCAGCCGGGAATCGAACCAGCGCTGCAGAGGCTGCAGACAGCTTCACAGTGCTGCGCTCAACCCGTTATGCCACCGGGGAGGCCCAATTTTTTTTCACATATATATGCCTTAAGACATGTATGTGTTGTCCACATATGTATTTATATCCTATGCCGTCTTCCCTGAGGACTTTCCCCTGGCTTTCTTTCTTTCTTTTTTTTTTTTTTTTTTAAGATTTATTTATTTATTTATACAAGCACTGGGTACAGTCAGAAGCGTGGGAGGGTGAGAGAATTCACCAGAGCCAGAGCGGAGAGCAGAACAGGCAGATGGAACGAAGTACACTGTTGAGGGGAGCAGCAGGCGTGGCAGGAGAGGTCTGTGCGCCATGTGGGACCCTCGCCAGCGGCTGGGGATTGAACCGGAGCTGCAGAGGCTGTGGGCAGCTTCGCAGCCCAGCACTCAACCACTGCGCCACGAAGGGAGGCCGTTTCCCCTGGCTTTCTTAAGGATCACCAATGACAATGTCCCAGGAATTATGACCTACAAGTTCTCAGCAAAGGGTCTGGTATACATTGTAGACATTTAAATCCAATAAATATTTGCTCAATAAGGAATAGGAGATCTGTAAAGGCAAGTCCCTTTCTTCATGTACAGAAGTATGGAAAAATAGGTTCTCCCTCTCCTTCACTACATCTTGAGTTGCATTTTGGCTAACGGTTCTTAGAGAAACTGTGTGTACCTTACCTGTGTTATTGATGGGTGTAATAACCATTGGCTAAATTTCCTATTGGCTGAATACTGAGGGAAGATTGCTTAACTTAGGCTAAAGCAGACCTCCTCATAACATCAATATAAAAAGCCCATTTTGGTTAGTATATCAATCTAGCTGAAAGTGGCACAAGAGAACTGCTGCCAGGGTTGAGAGTAGCTGCTGAGAGCGCTCCCTTGAGAAAGGCATATGTAAGCAAGACAAGATCTAAAACAACTGGTGAGAGGTTCCAGGTCACCCAAATTGGCTTAGAAAAGTCTCACTGGCTAAATGTCTTGTTTGAGCTTTGGAAATGTGCCCTCGGTGGTGTTTGGGTTTACAAGGGAAGCTAAATTTATGAACTGACAATCTGCCTGCTCTGGGAAAACTGACACCAGGTGGAAGAGAAGCGGCCCGGCTAGGTCGGCTTTCTTTTGTTCACCTCTTCACTACGGATAGGGAGAAACGTCAAAGGCACCTCTTGTCTGTAAATCTTCCTAAGTCAAAGAAGGCAAAGAGGGAATAGACTGCAAAAAGCTAACACAAAAACTCAACACACCTACCCTCAGAAACCGCAGAACTCAACCTTCTATTAAAACCAGAGTGGAGGGCACAATAGAAACTTGGAAGCTTTTAGTGCTCCATTTTCCTGATTAAATGCAGATCACATCAGGGCTCTTAATGGGAGAAGGGGAGTATCGCTCCCAGTACATCTGGTCCCTGGTATTAATCTTAACTGTCTGGTGATATCAAGGCACGTGGCTTCTGGGACAGCAAATACCTGCAATGATGACTGAGTCAGTTCGGGCTGGGCCAAATTTCAATGTCATCTCATGCTTGTGTTTATGAACTGCCAGGTGGTCCTCATTTGTAAATCTCTGAAATGAAACAGAAATGGAGATTAAAAAAAAATAAGCGATTCAGTGCCCTTTTAAAATGTCCTACTAAACATGCTGTAATAAGGTTGTTCCCTGGAAAGAGACTGGAGGAGGAAAGGGAAGGAGAAAATGCTGGAAATGACAGAAAAGGAGAGGAGATGGGATGAAGAAAGGGAAAACGTGGAAAGAGAAAAAGAGGCGCTAGAAAGTAGGACAGGAAGGAGAAGGGGAAGACCGTAGCAGCAACTGCCCTGGAATACCGGGTCCAAATGAGAGAGACAGATTGTTGGTGAAGTGGGATCCAGGCAGGAGGTTCCAACTGAAAAAAACATTAAGACAAACTTGCAGAGGACAAGGGGGAAATAATTTTTAATAATAACAAGAGAGGAGAAGGAAAGGTTGGGCACTCACTGGTCATCACAAAAATAGGAAATTCAGAATGAAGCTCTCCGTGGTTAAGGCTGAATTGGACTATTTATGAGGGGGCTAACAGGGAGATAAATTATGCAGGATTAGGAGAACCATTTAACTTCCTGGCCCCCACAGTGCTGCAGCAGGCGCCTGCCCAGCTATTTGGCTCAGGGTTTTAATGAGCCAGGATGGAGCTGTAGAGGACAGAGGCCCAATGGCCAGCAGTAATGGCACACACCAGCCCCATCGGCCAAATGCTGCCTCCCCTCATCGGGCAGCCCGCCTGGGTTCCATCAGCCATAAAGGGGCCAGTGCAATGCTGCTGGCTATATAATGGTAAACTAAAAATGCAAGCAAAAATGTTTTTGTTAGGGTAGGGAGAGGCCTGTAGGCAGCATGAGGGAAGGGAAAAGAGATGGTATAGACATTTTATTTAGGGATTTGTGTGAAAAAAAAAAAATGAGAAAGTGAGGCTAGTTCTGCCTCAGTTTTGTGACTGAACAAAAATTTATGTTCCCATCCTTTCTTTAGGGGGTTGAGGTGAAGGGAACAGATGAACAACATGAAGAATGATATCCTCAAAATTCCCTTTGAGGCTGGCTGGCCATGTTCTTTCATTAAAACATGCCTGCGACATAGTAACAGCTTGGATGCTGCAGTTTTCCACAGCTCCTTCACCAGCCCGGATCTGAAATGTGGTTCTTTTTTGTTTTTAAAAATAATGATGGGTAAGTCGCCTCTTTTTACTCTCCTCAATAGATACATATCCCCCATCAAAACTTCAGTTCTCTTTTTCAAGCTTTTTTTTGACTGTAATGAAATAAACAGGAGTTGGCGCCAATTTAGCTCCCATCCAATCAAGAAAGAAAACTAAACTGTTAAATTTCTTTATTTCTAACTGCAAGTAGCATTGAAATTTGCTCAGAGCCCTTTCGCAACTAAAGCCAGCTTGAGATCTAAAATCCTTCCAGGCTAGGGCCTCCTGCTGGCTCAAGGGGTTAAACACCGCACTATGAAGCAATTTGCAGCCTCTGCAGCACGAGTTTGATCTCCGGCCGGCCAGGGAGCAACCCACTTGGCGCAGCAGACCTCTCCTGTCTCGCCCACTACTCCCCTCAGCAGTGTATTTCGGTCAGTCTGCCTATTTTGTTCCCCACTCTGTCACTGGTGAATCCTCTCACCCCCCATATCTCTGGTCTGTACCCCAGCTCTTGTACGCATAAATCAATCTTTAAAAAAAAAAATCTTTTCAGGCTAGGCCTATAGGCCTGAAAAGCTGAGGGAATTTTCAACTGAAAATTGTGTAAGAACCAAGAAGTAAAACAGTGAAAAGAAAACTACCTTAGTGGTTTCTGATGGATTTAGGACAAAAGTGAATAAATCCTGGGGAGATTTAGACAAGAATTTCAGTTTTCTCTATTGGTGGTTAACCCTAGGCATCAACTTTTCCATCACAGACTTTTCCCTAAGGAAAAGAGGTAACAGTCTGCTAATCAGGGGTATATTTATAAGCTGAACAGGTCACTGTGAAGGGCCTGGAATTGTCAGGTATTCAGTGAAAGGAAATGAGCAGTTTATACAATGAAGAAAAAACATTTTAGGGAGACAGATAGGAAGAGTGGTGGATTAGGCAAGAGTATAATATACATTTTCAAAATGTATTAGTAATTTTATAATATATTTTTTTAAAAAGGTTGAAAATTTTTGTGCAATGTTCTAAAATCTAGAAGAATAATTTTCATGCAAAAAGTCGTTGCCTACCATTACAAATCTAGTTTGTTCAAAACTGAGCTAAGAGAAAGATTTTAAATTTCTATCAGGTTTTTGCTCTGGTTAGGACAGTTTAACATTTTAAAAGGCAATTCCCCTTCTGTTCCAACTGCTATACATTCCTTCATCGTCTTACTTGTCCTCTACTTCTTTTTCCCTCTGCTGTCTGCCCATACTCCTTTCTACCCATCTTTGCCCCCTTCAGCTGTTTTTTTCCAAATCTAAAGCTGAAGGTGGCTGAAGGGATCTTCCACCTATCAGCATCTCAGAGGATTTTGGTAACTGTGAAAACATATAGGAAAAAAATTACATCTATTTCCATTAAACTTTAGCCAAAATTTAGACTTCCTAATTAATAGTAGAAATAACACATATTTTCCTATCACATTACAGATATCTCAATATCTTTATACTCATTACTACTTAGAAATGGGTATCGTAATCATCCATCATTAGAACATATTATTTTATGCAATTAAAAAAGTACATAGGTACATTATCAAATATTTTAAAAACATTTTTGATAATTGTATTTCAAAATAATTAATTTCTTTTGTAATCCTATATATTTCATTTAATTAACTTAAAAGCATTATTCTGAGGAGGAGTTCACAGGTTTCAAGCTCTAAGTGGGGGTCATGACCACAAAAATTAAGAATCCCTGACTAGGGCCTCCCCGGTGGCGCAGCGGTTGAGCGCTGGGTTGCGAAGCTGCCCGCGGCCTCTGCAGCGCCGGTTCGATCCCCGGCTGCTCCCCGGCCACTGGAGGAGGGTCCCACATGGCGCGCAGACCTCTCCTGCCGCCCGCTGCTCCCCTCAGCAGTGTACTTCGGTCCTTCTGCCTGCTCTGCTCCCCGCTCTGGCTCTGGTGAATTCTCTCACCCTCCCGCGCTTCTGACTGTACCCAATGCTTGTATAAACAAAACAAACAAGCAAACCAGCAAACAAATAAATAAAGCATGCCTCTATCAAAGAAAAAAAAAAAAAAAAAAAAAAAAAAAAAGAATCCCTGACTAAAACAGGTATTCTGCTTCAGGGGAGCAGGAGGAGCCGAAAGAGAGAGTTTTAAGAAGCAGAACACCAGCTCCAGTTATCTCTTCTTGCTGTTTCTTTACAGTTCTTGCAAGGCTAGAGTAAGAGGGGAGAATAAATGTCTACTAAAACCTTTTGATAAAAGTGAATGTGAATATGGCTTGTACTTATTATTCCCTTTATTTGTTTTCATTTATTAAGAATTAATGCTTAAAGGGCCTCCCTGGTGGCGCAGCGGTTGAGTGCTGGGTTGCGAAGCTGCCCGCGGCCTCTGCTGTGCCGGTTCGATCCCCGGCTGCTCCCCGGCCACCGGAGGAGGGTCCCACATGGTGCGCAGACCTCTCCTGCCGCCCGCTGCTCCCCTCAGCAGTGTACCTCAGTCCTTCTGCCTGCTCTGCTCCCCACTCTGGCTCTGGTGAATTCTCTCACCCTCCCGCGCTTCTGACTGTACCCAGTGCATGTATAAACAAAAAACAAACAAACAAATAAAATAATAAATAAAACATGCCTCTATTAAAAAAAAAAAAGAATTAATGCTTAAAAATTCTAGGTCAGTCTTGAACTGCATGCTGAGGAAACTATCCCTTTAAAAGTAATTTTTATAATTTTTTTATCTTATTAAAACACATAGATTAACCTATTGAATTAAAAGTGGGTGGAGGGGGCCTCCCTGGTGGCACAAGTGGTTAAGACACAACCTATGAAGCTGTCTGCAGCCTCTGCAGTACGAGTTCGATCCCTGGCCAGCCAGGGAGCAACCCACATGGCGCAGCAGACCTCTCCTGACTCACCCACTGCTCTCCTCAGCAGTGTACTTCGTTCAATCTGCCTGTTCTGTTCCCACTCTGTCTCTGGTGAATCTGCTCACCCACCGCACCTCTGGCCTGTACCCCAGCTCTTGTATGCATAAATAAATCTTAAAAAAAAACCCATAAAACTATTAAAAAAATAAAAAAGTGGATAGATGGCCTCCCAAAAGGATTTCCTTTTTGATTTATTGCCCTTATGAAAATCTAGCTGCTAAAAAAAAAAAAAAAAAAAAAAAAGAAAGAAAGAAAGAAAAGAAAAAGAAAAAATGAAAATAAAAAAGAATTTAGCTCTCCCATTTGTTAGTACCCTTAATGGGTCTTCTTTGCTCTTTAGTCTTACCTATGACTAAGGTTTTGGCAAAAAGCCACTCACTTAAAGAACACTCATTCTAGCTATAGTCTAAATAATAATTTTCAATGAATGTATTAATTATCTCCAAGATAACAGAGGGCTGGTATCATTTAAAATGGGGACTGGAGGGCCTCCCCGGTGGCGCAGCGGTTGAGTGCTGGGTTGCGAAGCTGCCCGCGGTCTCTGCAGCGCCAGTTCAATCCCCGGCTGCTCCCCGGCCACAGGAGGAGGGTCCCACATGGTGCGCAGACCTCTCCTGCCACCCACTGCTCCCCTCAGCAGTGTACTTCGGTCCTTCTGTCTGCTCTGCTCCCCGCTCTGGCTCTGGTGAATTCGTTCACCTTCCAGTGCTTCTGACTGTACCCAGTGCTTGCATGAATAATAAATAAATAAAATTTAAAAAAAAAAAAAAATAAAATGGGGACTGGAGAATATGAGTAACACTGGATCAGGAAGGCAGTGTATATGCCTTGGGAAGGATTTGTATGGTAACAGATTCAGGGCCTTATTTGCTGAAGTAAATGAATCAGGACAACTTCTTGGCATAAATGGGGGAGGGAAAATATTATGTGCTAATTTACACCCTATCTAGAGATCAAGATTATTTTGAGCTGTCCTATTCAATA